GATGTCTTAATATTGACTGATTTCCTATTATGTTTTCCTAAGTCTGCTTTATCAGTAACAACACCAAGAACCTTAGTTTTTTTCAGTGGATTTTCAGAAGACATGTTAGAATTTGATCTTTTGGGTTTGCAGACCACAGTATGAGATTTTTCTACAATGTCATCGATTTTTCTGATTTGTGTGTCTGGTAATTTATTGGTATATTCCAAATACATAATATCCTGATTTTTGTCATTTGCAGCAGATTCATTTAATTCTGGATTTAGGTGTTCTTCATTCTCAGTTTTGTTTTCATCAATATCATCATGTGATGTATTTGATGATTCACTTATCTCTTCATCTTTGATCAGATTGTCATTGATTTTATTTTTGTCTGTTTGATCTTGATCATATAATTGATTTTCGGTAGATTCTAAATGAAATGAAGATGACTCATCATTTGATTTCTTCATTGATTTTGATGATATAAAATCAAGCATTGTACTTGATTTTCTTTTTAAATCTGTTTTTTCTACTTTACTATTCTCAACTTCATTGGAGCTTTTAAACTTGCTACTAAATTGTTGTAAAAATGAATTAAATATTCGTGGTTGGTCAGTGTCTGGTTTAACATCACTAGAACTTTTACTTCCTGAGAAGTTAGAGTTTTCAATTTTCAAAGTTCTTGGTATACTTTCAAACAATTTTGTTAATGAACATTTAAGTACTTCTAAAATAACTTTTTCTCTAGTCAAAAATACTTTTCTTTTGTCTGGTGTCACATTCACATCTACTGATGTCCTCTCCATGTTAACATTTAAAAACACAAAAGGGTACTGGTTAGGATTGTACTGTTTATATATTTCATTAATCATCTTTATTATTTTAGTAGGTTCACAAGGTCTTGAGTTGACAAAGTAAAATTGTCTATCAGTACTAGAACGACCACTTCCATGTGCACAGGATGATATGAAACCATTAAATTGTATAGGCTTTACAATATTTTTATATCCACTAGATTTTTGTGAACCAGTAATGGAGCTTGCACCCTGTGAAATTGATTCTGTATTATTTGCATCATTAGAATCTTCTGATAAATCTATTTCCACATCTTCTATTGATTGCTCATCTGCTACCTCAAATTCTTGAGACAATCCCTTAAATATATTATCTTTAATGTTTGATACATATTCTGGAATAATTTCCAAGATGCTTTGCAGTTGTTTTAAACCAAAGACACAGGCTATGTTATCCTTGTATGACATACTGCCCTGAGTTGCAACCACCAATGTTTTGGTGTTGGCACTTGTTTGATTAGTGCATGTTATCCTGAAAGTATAACAAGTCAGTATCCTTTGTATTCATAAAATACATTAAATAATAAGTAAAAAAATAATTGATCATACTTAACCCCCAAAGATATCAGGCAATAAGCATACAATAGCTGAGTCATTTTATTAAATTCCCTTTTAACATTCTTATGAAACTCTTTTTGCCTCACAGGAAGGGAAGAGAATAGATTTGATAAGCTAACAGTTGTCCCAATTTGCCGGGAACAAGGTGTTTTTTTAACAATATTTCCTTTGTGGTCATATTCAAGTTTTGTTGCTGAAATAAAATATTACACAATGAAAAACATGTAAATATATCTAGTTCATTAAAGTTATAATAATCAAAATTAATGTTACCATATTGAGCACTTAGGTGCCTCGTTGTAATGATTAGATCAGAGAGGGCACACAGAGAACTTAAAGCTTCCCCTCGAAATCCAAAACTAGACACTCCAAGAAGATCAGAATAATCCCTCAATTTTGATGTGTGATATTTCAGAGCTGTAAAAAAATTTGATATTATGATAAGATATTTTGGAAAGGAGGTTATTGAAAATAATGGATAAAACTTGATACATACTTAATGCTGCAAAATTATCTTCAGTCACACCGGAGCCATTATCAGATACTTCTATTAATTCAATGCCATAGTTCGTGAAACGAATTTCAATATTTGTAGCACCAGCATCCAACGAGTTCTCAACCAATTCTTTGACTGCTACTGCTAAGCTTAGCACTACCTGTAACACCAAGTCACCTTTTTTGAGATTGATTAATTGTCATCATCTTTTCATTCTTAGGTCGTCCACTGATGATTCTTTGATAGTTTTTCGTAAAATAAACTTAATGGTTTTCAATGAGCAAGTATGGCTTTATTATTCTAAGGGTGCATCGATCACATTTACCTGTCCCGAGCAAATTTTATGAACGGTGTCAGTATTAATAGCTTTGATTTCTGGCGAAGGCGAGTTATTTTCTATATCCATTATTTACGCTGGTATTTGTTCATTCTTTATATTAAAAGCTCAAAGCTCGCATCTGTGGCTCGCACTTCGCGGTATTTATAAAATGTCACAACAATATCCTGTGACGTTTCAATCTGACACTGACAAATAAACTAGAGGGGGACCGATTCTAGCGATTTCTAGATTCTACAATAGATTCAACCACAGATATGGATTCAACTTTCTGATGGTTTTGTTTATTTATTTAAATCAATAGTTCAATACTTAAAGCATATTAAAGCAAGATTTATTTAGTGCTTTATTACAAAACTACATTTGAAAGAAAGAAAGATACATTTATTACAGTGGACATCACACAAATACAGGCAATTACATAGACATGACAGTGGCACATAATAATAAAAGAAGAAAAAATAAAAACAAGAGTAAACTGAGCAGTGCCACCCATTCACCAACCAGATGCCCACTGCAACGGGACCCCACTCAGCATATGCCGTGGCCCACGGTGACGAAGGCCACGGCGCTGGTTTTCAGTGTGCCCCATGCCGAGTGAGGGTCACGGACCATTGGTAAAATAAAATAAAAAATAAAAAAGCTGCACAAAATTGTCTAGATAAACATACATAAATAGTAATATTAGTGCACAGATAAATACAAAAGGCGGGAAATCAGTAAGGATTTGTGGTTTAGGAACTTAATTACATAAAAGCTTTTTAAGCAATTTTCTAAATAATTAGGGTTAAAGAAAAAAATTAAATGAAGAATCGGTTCCATTCATATATTCAATTGCAAAAAAAAAGAGGTCCAAAGATTATATAAATTTAATGTTGTGAATACTACAAGTAGCACTACTATCGTATTATAATCGTATTGTTACTTTCTATTTATCTCATCATGTTCTTTTTTTAATGTGTTCGTATTTTAAGGAACTTTGTGGAAAGGAGCATATAAAAAAATGATTTAAAAGGACTTTGAATCTTGACTTCAGAGCCCCGATTACGGTATTTTTTAACGTCAATAATCCAGACACGCTTCTCGATTCTGCGATACAATGGTCGTTCAACAGCGTACGTCAGCTGTTTTGACCAATCGTATCGCAGAATCAGAAACGCGTCTGGATTGTAGACGCTATAAAAGTTACCGTAATCGGGGCTCAGGCTTTGTGATTGGCCAAACAAACAACAAACTTAAACCGCAAGCACCCATCAGAGAACGACGATACGATACGGTTACGATCACTTTGTGTTAAAAAACCACGGCGGGATCCAGGGAGAACTCCAAAGCCGTAAATCTTAAATAAAGAAATCAATTCGAATGACAGATAAACGTCAAACTTTATGTGTCATTTGTCAAAGAGGATATAATTCCACAGATATGGATTAGAGTAGATACAGCAAGTTGATCGTCAAAGCGTGCCATTCCGATATGTCCAAATGGACATACATGGTCGAGTGATGTTCATGTAATCCGATTACAACAATCGGTTACGATGATTTTACGAGGACAGTAGTACGAACACGGTAGAAAGAAGAAATGATTTACGGATTGAGAATTGTAATTAACAGCACAAGTAACAAATAATTAATTTGAATAAATTAGCGGTAGAAGAAGTATAAAGTAGCATTGTTTTTAATACATCATATCCTGCGATGTACTCTTAAGAGTTAAAACCATGGTCCCTGTATGTGGTGCACTCATACCGATCCCAAGGAACCGTACTTACTCATAACATTATGACACACACTGATCCGTGTATTCATACACCAGACAAGTTTTTGTATTGAAACGCTGGTAGGGTGAAAAAAATAATGAGATTTGACGATTTGTAAGAATTAATTTACCTATTTAAAGAGGAAAATAAAGATGTTTTTGGTTTTGTATCGGGCCCCCGGGAAACCCCTAGTGCCAGACTTTTTCAAATAGACAGAGTAGAGGCATCTGCCTAAGGAAGTTCTATAATTTTGCCATTACCTTTTTTTATAAATGACGGCGGAAGAACTATTTTATTCAAACCTTTTTAATTGTTTTGATTATTTTATGGGGCTCATCTAAAGCACAATACTTATTCTTATAATATAATTATGAAGAAAAATCTTTTGTGTTTCATTTTACTCCGAACGTTTTTTACCACACTGAATTTTGTCGTTTAGAAATAACTTCAAAACTAGGTACCTGACTTAGCTTTATGAAACAAAACGTATTGGCAAAACTACGCATTTTTACATTTATTAAAAATAAAAAGCTTGAGTTAATAGTCTTTATTTTATGAAACTAGGTCAGGTACTTACTATACTAGGATATTTAAAAGTATGGAATTAAGTATGAATTACTATAAATGGAATAACGATCATTACTTTCATAAACATTAGGCACAACAAAAATATTATTTGCAAATTAATAATATCGAATAACGTTTACCGCTACAAAATTATTTTAATCCACAGTCAGACTAGCTATAAATTTAACAAAATATCAGTATTATCGGAATTAATAAATTTTCGAATCGAGTCACACGATATCTTTCGATGACTATGCGAATGCAGTACGATGATACGATTACTTTTACGTTGCGGCAATCACTAAAATTCGCTAAAATGACACTAATGACGTTTAAAAAGTGGCACGCTCGGCTTCCTATGTATTACTTTTCTCTATGCTCGGCTTCATACAATTTTTGACACATGCTGCATCTATCCATATCTGTGATATAATTCACTACGTTTTTCATTTGTGATGTCTGTCATTATTCATGAACAGAATTGAAATAAAAATTGTGTTGTTTCATTAATGTGGCTAATGCGTTGATTGAACAAAAGCTAAAACAATCTTAACTTTTTCGTCAAAGAGTTCTAAATCTTAAGAATGTCTCTTAATACGGCTCACGCCGATCATGGAGTGTTAATTCATGCCGGAGAGTGGTGAGTCATCCTTTGCTTAGTATTTAATTTTAAGACCTAATCGAACATTCCACAACAATCTAGAGAACGCATTTATCAGTTAGATTATGATTTTGATATTCATAACTGTGTTATTTACATTACAGCATCATCCTCTATTCTGACAATGTGATTGTTGATTTCTATGGGAATGATACACCTGAATTCAAGGGTACAAAGAATGGCCGTATGTACCTCACAACTCATCGAATGATATACAATTCGAAAGTTAACTCCGATCCAATCAGATCCTTCAGTTTCCCATTTATTGCTCTACAAGATGTAAGTTGACCATGTAATACCTAATACATTTAGTAATAAATAGATCCTGAACTTACAGTCGCTGTAATGGTTGGTAATATGTATGTACTTTTTTGACAGAAAGGAGATAGAGCTCTAATGTTTACTTACTAATGCTTTACCAAAATTGCCTAGTTTGAAGACATTTTGATATGGGACATTATTGATACTTTGGGTTTACATTAAGTCAGTTTATCTATTGATTAACCTTTTATTAGCATTATGACTTATCCTATCTCCAACATTAAATATTGATGAAAGTTATGTCATTTTAGGTAACAGTAGAGCAACCAATGTTTGCAGCAAATTACATAAAGGGAAAAGTTCGCGCCCAACCAAACGGTAACTTTATTGGTGAAGTGAAGTTCAAACTCACCTTCAAGGCAGGAGGCGCTATAGAGTTCGGTCAAGCTATGTTGAAAGCAGCTCATCTTGGTAAGTTTTGTCATTTCAATTTGAGGGAATTGGGCAATACTTCTAAAGTTCTAATGGCCAATGTTACTATGACTATGTAAAATGTTGATGGTACACTACAAAATTAAGGATAATGTATTTCTGAGCTGTGGATAAATTCATAAATAATGTATTCATTATTTCTCCACAATCTTATTAATCATACTTTTATTAAAATTGATGAAATCAAAATTCACTGCTTAAGCTGGGATCTCTCAACCAGTACACTCCTAAAAACAGGCTTTTCAGGAGAATCTTTGTTAAGGGACTAAGTCAAGTTTTCAGCTTAATGGTCTTCAATGTAGTTTATCAAAGATTTCAGAAGCATTCAGTGGTATATTATAAAAGTGATAAATCTATTACATACATTCTACTCTAAATCTATATACAGTGTGAGTCACGTTAAAGTGTACATATGAAAATAGATGAAACTAGACCTATTTTTATCGACAAAAAAGAGGTCAAAAATTTTTTGAGATTTTTTTTAAATTTTTTATAGATTTTTTTTTCTTCCAATTACTTATTGTAAAGAAAACGTAATAACTTTTAAATTAAGCGGTATATCTTGATAAAATAAAAACAATAATAATGCTAAATAACAGGCAATACTAAAAAAATACATAAAATACACAAAAAAGGCCAACAAATAATAAAAAATGATAATTTTTGAAAAAAATCTGCTTAAAAATTCGTGTTTTTTTGGTTATTTGATAAATTTCTCTAAAAAATGCCCCTATAACTGGTGGTTTTTATTACTTTGTATTATTTTCTATCGTATTATCTTTGTAAAACTAAAAATCGCATGTCTCTATCCCTATCACAACATTTGCTATGATCGTTTGAACAAAGGCCTGCCACAACATTATTCTCCGCTACAGGTAGAGACAATTTTAATTTTAACTAAAATGCTTATTTTACTTCGAAATCTTTTGTTTTTATTTGAAATCTAACTTGTCTTTATCAAAATTACAAATCTAGAGCCATTTTCAGTTTTGTTGTTAACGAAGCGTTGAATGGCGCGCCCGGAGAGGCTTAGTTCAAACGATCATTGCAGACGTTGTGATGGGGATAGAGACATGCGATTTTTGGTTTTACGAAGGTAATACGATAGAGAATAATACAAAGTAATAAAAACCACCAGTTATAGGGGCATTTTTTGGAGAAATTTATCAAATAACCAAAAAAACACGAATTTTTAAGCAGATTTTTTTCAAAAAGTATAATTTTTTATTATTTTTTGGCCTTTTTTGTGTATTTTATGTATTTTTTTAGTATCGCCTGTTATTTAGCATTATTACTGTTTTTATTTTATTAGGATATACCGCTTAGTTTAAAAGTTATTACGTTTTCTTTACATTAAGTAATTGGAAGAAAAAAAATTCTATAAAAAATTTAAAAAAAATCTCAAAAAATTTTTGACCTCTTTTTTGTCGATAAAAACAGGTCTAGTTTTATTTATTTTCATATGTACACTTTAACGTGACTCACACTGTATACACACACATACACTCTCATAAAACACACACTCCTACACATAAAGTAAAGACTTTCTTATTGGGCATATTATTGGGTTTTTTTTTGTGTTTGCGGTGGCATAGGTGGCTTTTCAAACTTAAATTGTGTTTATTTTCCTTTTTTTTTGTTACTAGTATAAAGTGCATTTACAACGCCATTTAACTTTAAGCCTCGTACTCCAGTCCCCAAGAGACAGGTGTCTACCTAGTTTGGGGACCACTAGCAATGTTGTCTAAGTTATTACCTTGGTTGAATAAAGGTTTTTATTATTATTATGTTTGTACGCTTTGGAGCTCACGGGTCAAAAGTGGCCCGGTCCTTTATAAGGCTTGCGTGGGGATACAGATCCAACACGTAGAGGCCGTTTTAAGCGCAAAATAATCGACAAAAGTGAAAGTGGTGCACATGCTGGACCTAGTCTCTGACTATATCATGGGATGTAGCCAGAGACCATCCCCAGCCTGTGCACAGGAGCTATTGCAGTTATTGGAGACTGGACTAGGGTTATGGATGAAGGATGGATTGACTGGTTACTGGGCTATGAATGGAGACTACGGGTCACCTGCCTGGTTCATTACTATTATTATTGAGTCCTTCATTATTAATTGGCAGCTTCTCGACACAACGCGCCAGGCGCGTCGCCGCCGCCGTACACGCCGCCGACCGGCCCGTGGTACGCCGCCCCGCCGCCGGCGTACGCGCCGCCGCCGCAGGGCTACTACGGCTGGGTGCCGCCTTACACAGTATGTACATAGAATAATCATCATCATCATCATAAACAGCCCTTTACAGTCCACTGCTGGACTATGAGCCTCCTTCACTATAGTGGAGGGTATTGCCATAATCCCCACGCTTGGCAGGCGGGTTGGAGATCGCAGTTTAAAATATTGATGTTTTTCAGAGAGCGCTGCTGCCCGTTCTCTGTTTGATGTGTAGTGTCCCTAAGTCGCCTCTTACGACACCCGCGGGAAGAGTTGGAGTTGGTGACAAATGTATTCTACTCTGCCGTCACCACACGGCGCATAGAATAATAACAATATGTTATAATAACCACACTGATAGCTTGATACAAAACGCACCAGATCCCGATTGCGCTCATTTGTAATGTCTCCAATTCATTTGTGTTTCAACTCCAGTCCACACTCCAGTTACGCTCCATTATCATTCTAGCCGATGTGCAATTCGGTATCGCGGTAAAGTTCACGCGCAAACAAAAACGTAACAATGGATTTATGCACCTTCCATTAAAAGTCCGAACACTTTATTTTAAATCTAAAATAACTAAAACACAGCAAATGTTACTCAAAGGCGCAGTCGCGCTCCGTTTACGTTACAACTTCGTTTGAGCTAGCTGTCAAAACGGCACCGCTTGTTAAAACAGCTGTGGATCTAGACAAAGTGCAAATTATGATCGCAAACCAGTCGAAAAGTGGTCGAAAAGCCCCTTTTTTGTATGGAGTTTTTACAGATTCGATTTTCGATTCGATCAAAAAGTGCGTTTTGTCTAGGGGGGCTGATTTTCGTTCGTCGTCCAGTCGCGTTGCAGTTGAAAATTTTTAGCGTAATCGGGGCCCAGGTGCGTCCGCGATGCCTACTATCAGCAACAGTCCGAAGGTACGCTATATTCTCACGTTGGCGTGTTATAAATTTATAGGCTTTCCCGGATCAGCCGCCACCAAACTCCGTGTTCGTGTCGAACAACCCGCCGCCGTACCCGGGCGTGGCGGGCGCGGCGTACCCGCCCGGCGCGGGCTTCTCCGGCACCGGCGGGCCGCCATCAGGTGGGGGGTTCGCCGGCGCGCCGCCCGGCTATCCCGGCAATCCTAGTGCTCCGCCGCCCGGGTATCCCGGTGGCTTCGCGGCACCCGGATATCCGGGTGGCCCTGGTGGCTTTGCCTCGCCAGGAGCCACGGCCGGCATGTCTTCGAGGGGTGAGAGCAAAATTACTTTTAAAGTCGTAACAGTTCAGTGATTGAATTTAAAGTCTCTAAATTAAAGTCTGGATTAATATGGAAATTGATTTATGGTTTTAAGAGTGCAAGCCGAGGCCCCTGACTATTCAGTGAGTAGTCGGAAATGAATCGCTTTATTTATCTATGATTTTGGGCTTTAGTAGATTAGTTCATTTATGTTGGCAGTATTTTGAAAGCAGATAATTCTTTGATATCTAATTAAATTAAGTATATCACGGTAATTTGTGTACACGTTGTGTTGTTTAGTGCAGTAGATTAATTAACATTTTCAGATGCTAAAGCTGCCGAGGCGGCCCAAAGCGCGTATTACGACCCTAACCGACCGCAGACCGCTTATGTGCCGCCGCCGTACAACGTAAGTACAATATTTTTGTACTATAGCTTAAATGGCACTGTTCATTGGTTGAAACTGGTTCATGTTATTTTTAGATTACTTTTAAAAAGTCAGTATCGTAAGAAGTTTAGTCTTTACAGAACTAATAGAATCATATACATATTACATTAATGATAACCATACTTTAGCCTACAATTACTTATCTTTCTTGCTGAGTACACATTGAGCTAAACAATGGGCTAGGTTCAATATTGATTAAATCTATTATTCTACAAATTTCGTCCGATAAAATATCTATGCTGAGAATGCTGAGATTGTCATTTGAAGAATCCGAAATGTAATAACTGACATGTAGCCTGAGGTTACCAGGTACATATTACGCTTTTTTCATACATTTTTACAGATATTACGTTACCAACACACATTTTAAGTGTAGGCACCTTTCGTAATAGTTGCTATTCACCACTAGCCCTTCAAGCCCCGTGAGTCGAGATACAATAGATAAATTAATAATTACGCGGTCATATGCCACCCGTTTGGGATTTATGGGATATCTTACATAATACAATATCAACACATTATTATCTATTTCAGGATCAGCCACCGAGCTATCAAGAATCTACGTCAAAGAAAGAAAACTAATGCACTGCCCCCACTATCACATGTCTACTAAAGATCAAGCTGAAGTCGATAAATGCGAAATAATGCATTAAAGGTCTGATGGCATTATTATATTCAGCTACACACGTGTATAGTACACAGTGTGTATCTTTCTCTGTAACACTAGCATAAAAATCGTACTACATTCCAGCAATATAAATGTGCAGCACGATTGTTTGGTGCTTTTTCCTACAAATTGATAAATATAAATTATCTAAATAATACCTATATTATTATAGTTGCTGAAGATGTTATTAGCAAGTAATGGTTTGCAAATATAATGTAAATTTGTACGTAAATTGTATATAGAAATTAGAGAGACCTGATAATAATCTATTATCTTGTTTTGTTTTCTTATCATCGTCAAAATATTAGCTGACGGAGAATATAATAATCTTCGAACGTTGTTCCCCAGCCAGTACGTTTTTGGGCTATTTTATAACAATGGCTAATAGGTAGAATTTATTTTAGTCCCCGTAAAATCCTCTAGCCTGGATTTCGGAAGAGGGCTGCTAATAAATGATAATAATGTTGTATTGTAGACGAAAAATAATAACCCATTTTAGTTTTGTATGAAAATAGAGAAGTGCAACTCTTCCAACGTATCACATCATGGCCTGATATAATTGAGTAATTTCGGACAGTCAAAATTACAATAGCTTTATTTAACATTATGCGATAAAATATGAGTATTATAAATTATTGTATTTTATGTCTACATTATCGGGTCGTAATTTGAAGATGGGTTTTAACCCCCAACGGAAAAAGAGAGGGGTGTTAATAAAGTATTTTGATTATGCTTCGCCCAAAATTATTATACTAGATATAACTAAGACCAGGCTTGTCATGCTTATTATACAGGGTGTTAGGTAAATGGGTATATGAGCCGACGCTAGCCCATGTTAACATGGTCATATAAATGGTATGGTGAAGTCAGAAATTTGATATCATCATTTTTTTTTCATACAAAATAAATTTTATAAAATCCGATTTGTATGAAAATTAAAATAATTAAAATGAAGATATCAATTTTCTGACTTCACCATACCATTTATATGACCACGTTAACATGGGCTAGTGTCGGCTCATATACCCATTTACCTAACACCCTGTAGATCGTTTCATCCACGAAGACGCGCCCCACCATACTACCGCGAATATTTGAGTGTTATCGGTCCACGATAAATTTATCAATGAGTGCACACGCACAATACAATAATGACGCTCGGATTGCTCGGATCAAACTCCCCGCACCCCGCGCTTCCCTCGACCAAAAATTGGTGGGGCGCGTCTTTTAAAATAAAAACACTGCTTCGTGTGAACTGTGAACACCCTGAAATTTTATTTTAGTTGACTTAAATATTTGACTGTTATTAAACCAGTTATTACTAAAATGGTATGTTTATTAAAACATCAGATGTGTAAGTAATGTAGATATAAAATTATTATTACATTGTTAAAGTTACGCTTTATTATTAAAGATGTGCATTATTGTTTGCTTGAATAAAGTAAATATTTATGTTAATCAGTTTTTTTTTTCGAAAATATCTTCTACCAGAAGACAGTTTGTAAAAATTTGAGTCGATATTATAAAAGAGCCTCGCTTTTGTACGGAATTCAGTTTATTAATGGTATTAAAACGATATCAATTTATAAGTTGTAACATTTTCATTTATATGCCACAGTTCGTTCCAGCTACCCATTTCCGGTCATGTCGTCTCGATCTATTGGAAAGAATCACCATTTGATGAGAGCAAGAGAAAAATCGGAAATGGATAGTTAGAACTGTGGCTCACTCTAGGCCTCTAAATAATAATGTGATTAGTTAGACTACCTTAGACACTACTATACTATACTATTTAAAATTTAGTCTATGATTTTACACTGTCCATACAGAAGTAGGGTTTTGCTAGAAAAGAATAATTACGACAACTGTCAAAATTGAAAAATAGAAGATCAACATGTAAATTAGACGTGTAACTATCTACAAATAAAAAACCACTGAAAAATAAAATATTTAAAATCACCGAAATGAAACTGTACTAGAAACAGCCGTCACCATCAACGCGTTACTTTAAAATAGTATGGGTAAGTGAACACGTAGTGATTTGGCAAATTCTAGTAGACACCGCTGTTGACAGCTTTGTACAAAGGAGCCTGTAGTAGTTACTGTACTTACATGGTTTACAGAACACAGAAGAAGCCAGCCTCTCTATAAACTGCCATTCATATAAGTCCAATACTTGTTACAGTACATACAAAAGTTCAATCGCAACGCGTTCATGCTGGCATAATAGTGCATTTGTTTATCATAGTTCTAATACTCATGTGAAATGTACCTCCATGTTACTACACGTATTTGTGCAGTGCCGCAATAGTACCAGGCGTTGAACTTTTGTACAAAGTTGTGCTACAGTGATGCTGTTTAACGAATTGGCTTTCCTGTTCAAAAATATTAACTTTATAAGTATATTTTTCTCTTCAACTTTAGTGTAAATTTTGAAGCTGGACAAGGATCTGGGTACACCACCAGAAGTGCCAATATAACATGAACAAGTATTGTGAGTACCTATCTCTCGATTAGATGATAAACATACAATACTACTACACACTACTCACACAACTAAATAGTCAAAATATTGTTATTATTATGGTCGCGCGAACTATTACAAACTTTTACAGTGGTTTTTCGTTTGCTTCATTGTTTTCGGTAAGTTCAAAATTACTTAGTCTTACCATATGAGTGGCAGTTTGAGCAATAATAGATTGATGCTGGCTTCCTTTTGAAACAGTCGCTAAAGTAATAAATGTATTTTTTTCCAGATTAATCACCGATATACTTATGGCTCCCTCAATTCATCCACCGTGTACACCGTCAGCGTCATGCTCGCCTGTTCGATGCCATCCTACACCACCGCCGTGCCAGAATCCAGAAAAATGTCTAAAAAAAACCATTTCGAAAGGCATAAGACCTTGCCAGAGTGCCGTGTCTATAATGGCGACAAGATCCAAAGCAAAATGTGGCAGTTGTGGCAAATATAAATCCGGATCTAATCCCAGGAATGTGTCTGCTATTGAGAAGTTCTTAAAGCGCAAATCAAAAGAAACTAAAATGAGAAAGAAAGATAGATTGACGGGAAGTCATAGTTACACTAATTACGTTAGAAAAAAGGGATCAAGAAAATCGGAGACTGATTGCTGCGCTGGAAAGGGACATAGAGGCAGACTGAAGAGACCCAGGAAATGTGAAATACTGTAACAAAATCTTTACTGTGAACCGAAAGAAGTGTTTTAACTGAACATAATTATTATTTCATCGTATCTGCAATGCTTTATCATTATTAAAAATAAATAAAATATAAACTGGAATTACAATGAAGTTTTTTAAATCCATATTTTTATTATTTTTGAAACGTGAACTTTTGGATTTAGGTACTTTGGATTTAGTTTACCAAGAGCAAAACAAGTAAGTAAACTAATAATAATAATATGTATTGTTATGAGGCTGGCTTCTTTTACCTAATTTTTAATCTATTGCTTTAAGCTATAACATCAGTAAAATAGCTAATTGGATTTTTTTAAGATATAATATTATACATTTTCATTTTTTTTCAGTAAAGTCAAAATGAGTCCTGCCAGACACCCTCCGTGCTCCCCGGCGGCAACTTGCTTGGGCCAGCCAAGTGGTCCGTCGTGCCCAAATCCAGAAAGATGCCTTAAAAGATGCAGAGCCAGGCGATTGAAGCCATGTGCGAGCGCAGTCTCTATTATGGAAACTCGTTCTAAATCTAATTGCTCGGGCTGCAATAGGTACGGAGTAAATAGCTACAATCCCAGAAGTACTGCTGCCGAAAGGTCTCTCAATGAAAAAAGGAAACGAAAGAGACTGAAAGAAATCGATGCGATGTCTGGGACAAGATATTACGAACGGTACATGCGTAATAAAGAAGCAAGAGATGAACGTTCGTGTCGTCAAGGGAGCAGCCACAGAGGGCGGTCGAAGAAAATAATGAATTGTACCATACTATGAAAATAAATACAGAACTACAACTCGTTGTTTTATTAGGTACCTACTTAGACAAAACTAATCTCCACCGTAATGTTACTACTCGTTGTATAGGTAATATACTTAATAATTATGTAGGTACTTAATAATAAACAGGTATTTCACACCACACATTACCTATAATTTACCTACTTTTCTATCACGATATTTTAAATGCTAGTACCACATTAAAATTACCTAGTTACAGTTATATCTACAGCTGCACAGGTCTCGTGCTTATCTGTCGGCTACTGGTTTGTGGCAGTTGGGAGAAAACTGAAGTGTGGAGAAGAGATGAGGCAGAGGAACAGTCGACGAAGGACCATTAACTTTATTATTGCACCTGGTGCCAACCTATGCTACGCCGCCACTGTTTTTACACCTTAGCCCATAGAGAAAAGTAATACATAGCCCTTCATTTGTTATTAAGTTACTAATACTTCTATGTTTTTCAGCTGTTTACTCTAGCAAGAGTATAAAACCATGCGTATCCGCACCGACTTGCAGCGCACATAGACACAGGCCGCGGCCAGCGCCGTGTCCGGAGCCAGACAAATGTTACAAGAAGTGTATAAAGAAGAAGAGCAAATGTCCCAGCGCCATGGACACTGTCACCCGCGCCGGCTCGCCGTGCGAATGCGCGCGAGTCCAGTCCAGAGACTCCAGGGCCACTCATAAACGAGGATTTAAAACTCACAAAAAACGCATTCGGAAAGCTTACAAGCAAAATTCCATGGAATCGCGTTGGCGAAGGAGAAAGAAGTGTTGTGTTATTCTATGAACACACTAAATTCACAATATGATGATTACGTTGTAATATTATAACATTACATAAACAATGTACAATACATTTAACGTGTTTTATTTGATAGGTAGGTACCGTAAATTGAGTCTGTAATTTTAACCGACTTAAAAAATCAGGGTATGTTTTTAGAGGATTCCGTTACCTATCGTTATCTCGTAGAAGAGAGGGGTCCCGTAATGCACTCGTTGGAAAGTAACTTTGTTAGGCTTTCACGTACCTATTTTACTAAGCCGATTTTGATGAATATAGTTTATGGGACAAAGGGACATTATGAACCACGGGGTGGAAACGCCATAGAGTTTGACAGCTCCATAAAGAGTGAATTTTTTTGACAGTTCCGAGAGGAAGTGACTTTTTTTATAGTTGTCCTTTGTATGCGACAATGGTCTTTTGCGTGTCTGGAATCAAGTTAGTAAACATTTTCGAATTACAACTTCAACTTTTATTTATAAATTATTTTATTGAATCTATTTGCATTCTATAAATGAAATGATTATTTAAAAGTATATTAATTCAAAGTCGTAATTTTCACTTTAATCAATTTAGTTCCGTCTCAAGTCTACAACTGTGACATTATTTAAAAAAAAAACGTCAAAAATTTTCATCGAAAAAACGTGTTTTTCTTTAAACAAATTTTATCTAATTAAAATCAATAATTTCTCAATCAATATTAATAAGAACTACATGTGCATGGATTGCCAGTTGGATTGATGTTTGTTTTAAGAAGAAATTTCTCTCAACTAAGATATCCACTCGAGAAAGGTTATTGCAATTTGCAGCTTGCAGCAACATCATGTTTTATCAAGTATTGAACCACACAAAGGATTAAATCTTCATTACAATATCATTCATAACTCCATTTAAATCAATGGAAACTAAATATGGATCGTTTCATGGAGTAACAACATACATTGGAGTTTGGACCCAAAATACAATACACGTAGGTACATTGCAGGCATAGATTGCAGGACACAGTGAATGATACGTGTTTTATACAGTGAATCTAAGTACCTATTTGTTTCAGGTTAATATCGAACTTATAAGGTGTTAAGCTGCAATTACAATAAAAGTGCTTGCTATGGAATCACCGGTGCTGATCATTATTGTCAACTGTTACTTAAAATCCAGATGAACCAACCTTTACTTCCTATTCAAATAAGTTTAGAAGAAACCTATATAAGCAATAAAACCAGACCAAGAATGCTTGATTACAAACGATGAACTCATTTCATTTGCAAGTTATGCCATGACATAAATGCATTAAATTAGGAAGATTTGTATTAGATGAATATTAACTTCTGTTGATAAGAACATTTGGTAAGTACCTTTAAAATTTAAAACACCCTCAAAATGATTCTAACACTATCCTCTGACGCTTTTCGACTAGGATCAAATAAAAGTTAATTATTTAATTACAGATTGGTGGAATCCAGATTCTGTGAATGTACATGTAATTGATTGACAAGTACACATTTGACAAGGTAAATTAATTTTATTTAACAAAGTAGTGCAAATCTAGAAACAAAACAGACAGTAAGTAGGTATGGTAGATAAGACAGATCACTTGTTCATCTGCTGTACTCTTTATAATATTAGTGTAGAATGTAGATGATGTAGGAGATTACAGTCTTACGGTGACATGTGCATCTTTTTGCTCTTAATTTACAAATATTTCATATATTTTACAGGTGGTGAGAAACGTGTAGATCTGGCCTGCTTACAGTGGCTATTGGATTGGACAGAACCAAAGTGAGAGTGAACGTGTGAATTTATGGAGAACATTAAAAACTATTTTACTATAAGTCATAACGCAACTTATTTTGTATGAGTTACATACAAATGTCAAGCCGTGAGTACATTATGTAAAAACTAAAACAATGTACCTACTGTAATCACAACAGTAACTGTAATCTTTTAAAAACCAATAGTTTTAATGCTTATTGATTTTCGTAAACAAAATATTTCATGTTATATTTCATCAATAAAGTTTCATTTGATACTTCAATAGTTTTATTTTTAACCGCAATACATGAAAAGGAACGGATCATAAAAAAGTATGACAGGTATATTTAATCTGTGGGCGGCAGACGCCATATTGTATTCAGCGCCACCTACTGGACAATCTAGCTCGGTACCAGTTTGTTTATCGTTTAACCAATACTAGGGCCGTTTCCTATCTGTCTTTAGACATACTCTCTAATCTGTGTTATGAACTATGATCTCTCTTTTTTTGTTTTTCTGACGGACAAAAACACCCTTTTTTTATAGTTCCAAAATACTGGACTGTCCTGTCGATGACATTGACAGTGGGGCGCCACCGTCAATACCGGATCGCTGGTTCCGATTTTTACCATGTTGGAAACCATATAGTTGAACGATGGTAGCGCCCCCCTGTCATTGATTTTGGTGGGACAGTTCAGCGTGGGTCATCTATAACGCTTATCTAGAGGTAAAATAAATAATCTTTAACCAAAACAACCCTCCTATTTTTTCGCTTCCCGCGCAAAAAGGCACAGATCGTCATAAATTAATACTAGTTATAAAGTTTCATCAAAATCCGTTCAGTAGTTTTTGCGTGAAAGAGTAACAAACATCTATCCAGACATCCAAACTTTCGCATTTATAATATTAGTAGGATTTAACAAAAACATTTAATCTATGAAATTGCTGCGAACTAAATAATTACTTTCCTCTGTGATAACTCCAAGATAGCTCGACTAAATAATTCAATGAAATCGACTATTTAGTGCAAATAAGGAAGGCCTAACAGCGAATATCACATGATTCATCGTATCGTATCGTATTGTATCGTGTGCTTACTCGCGTCCCTATAACAGCCTCGCGCCATAACATAGTGGTCACATCACATTCATTGGTGTTCATTGGTTTGATTGAATCTGTGGGGAACGTAGAGTGAGAGTGAGCGAGCAAGGAGGAAGGGGGTCGACTGACTGACATAGGTGGTACCTACCTACCGAGAAAAAAGTAATTTTATTTTATTCATGAATGAAGTCTTGTGGATTTCATACAGCACGTTAGTAATTCTAACGAGATACATACAAGCTAATACCGTATCTATTGCACCACCATAGTACAAAATCTGCAACTAGAATAGTAAGATAAAAATTGATGCCAAGTTCTTCATCCCCGGGTATTGATATTGACGTCTAATAAGATACCACTTCATGAAATTAGCTTCCAAATGCTGTTTGTGTACACTCTTCGTGGGCGTGTGATTGCAGTTTGTGAATAGTTTAATTATTTATTGTATGTAGTGAAAAGTGGTATTGTGATACATTGCTATGTGGTACAAATTGGCATTGATGTGGCAAACCGGATTGCTGCAAGCTGGAGAAAACGTGACGCTATTATAAGGTCAGTATCAATTTTCTAATAACTTGTACTTGCTATACTCGTACATGCATTACATCAACGTATCTCGCCTCAATTTAAACGATTTTCAAGTCGTAAAAGCCTACCTCTGAAAGAATAGTAAATATTAAGGAACTACCCTGAAATTACTATTTAGTCCAATTTTGTTTTCTTTTCTAAAAAATATACAAGTTAGTTCAAAACTACCCTACCTTAATTTTATTGAAATAGGTAGGTATAGTCAAAGCTTTAACAATACCATTGTGAACTAGTTTGTTGTCAATATGTAAGTAAAGGCACAAACAAAGTTTGCTTGGTTTACTACAGGTTGGTATAGTATTTATGTAATATCGTCCCTTAGCTAACAACACCGCGTAAGTCATTTTTACCAACTTTACAGGAGACGAAAAAAACTGTTTATTTTAAAAAATCGGTGGATTTTTCCTATTGTTACTTATTAAATACCTTATTTAGCGGTTAAGAAATAATTATTTATACTTAATTTGACTATTTACTTTATTTTAACCTATATTTTATGACTTGAGCGGTATTGACTGATATTTTTGTAGAGTTAGGCGGTGTTGTTTGCCGAAATGTAAGGGAATAAGGTATTAATAGCTGATTTACAAAGAAACATTTTATTAAGAATTATTTAAAAAAATATTAAACAATCATTATAACCTATGATCTTTAACCTAAATCTTAAGAATCACAGTGTGTAGATCAAATATTGTGATGGGGGGCCTTCAACGCGAAGCTGGGCAAACGAAACGACAATGAGCTGGAAGTGGGGCAATTTGGGTACGGAGAGAGGAACGCACGTGGCTAACTGCTGGCTGGCTTTATGGAGAGGAATGATGAACTCCTTCTTCAGAAAGCCAAAACAGCGAAAGTAGATTTCGCTGCATCCCAATGACGCTATGAAATATGAGATCAACTTCATCTTGTCGACGTAGAAGCATGTTGTCTGTGTGGTCAATTCGGTCAAAATAGGAAGCAATCACCAAATGGTAAGATGCACATTAAATATAAGACCGAATCTCGATAGATGTCGACTGATAAAGTCTATACTCCGCCCAGCATCCATCCAACCCCGAAAGCTCAACTCGAGTTGCAAAATCGTTTCGAATGCCAGGAAATTGCAAAAATGTGGAAGAGTACAATGGCAGGTTCTTAGGAATTGTCCAAATGAATGGGTCTAAGGTCTTTAAAACCCGTGGTTTAAGAGAAACAAAAAAGATCTCTGATCTCATCAATAACCTTATAGAAGAGAGACGAAACATTGATCTGCAGTCTTCTGAAGATGCTACTCAGTATCGGCGTCTTAACAGATAGATCTCTAAGTCTTTTGACTGGCGACCTACGCATATAAAACAGACGATTGAGCATAACAAGGGCTCTAAGGTGTTCGTAAGACATCAGTCTGTCTGTTGGCCAAAGCCAACTGACCAAGCTGAAGACCGAGAATAGCGTCGGGGCCTGAGATATTGAAAGAGGTCGAGAAGTTCTACGGACAGTTATACACGACTGTGTTCACACCTGTTACAAATCTAGCCGAAGACCCAAGAGCTAGATTGACCCGACACAATACCTAACGCCAGTCTACACGAGCTTGGAATAGCTCTGGAACAGCTGATAAACAACAAGGCCCCGGGTGAAGATAGAATTACGGCTCAGCTTTTGAAAGCAGGTGAAATGTCGATGCTAAAGGCTCTTTGGAAGCTGTTCTATTCCGTCTTCCTCGAGGGAAAAACTCCTACGGCACGGCACAGAAGTGTGGTGATACTCTTCTTCAAAAAACGGCGATAAAACCTTGTTGAAGAATTATAGACCGATCTAATTTCTGAACCATGTCTACAAGCTGTTTTCGAGTAATTATGAGTCGTCTAGCTCGCCGACTTGACGCCTTCGAGCCTCCTGATCAGGCTGGTTTCCCGGCTGGCTAGCAGGCTTTAGTGTCTTAGACCACATACATACGCTGCGGCAGATTATACAGAAGACCGAGGAGTATAATCAGCCACTTTGCCTGGCGTTCGTGGATTATGAGAAAGCCTTCGATTCGATTGAAACCTGGGCAGTTGTTTACGCCGTTTATGTCCTGCAGTCCTGCTTCTTGTAATTGTGCACATAAAAAATCATCACCTGAACTCGGAATACTTCAAGAATCAATTCCTTCTCCATCAATAGTGTATTTCACTTGTATAGCTTCCTAAAAGAATTAAAATACAGTTAGAAACACCGCCTAAGTTTGAAAAAAAAATTGTAAACACCGCTTAAGTAAATGAAGATATTTTCTATTATCATTTCCTTACATATTAATACGCGTATATCGTTAAAAATACATTATTATATAGCTTACCTCTTAATCTTCTATTAAATAAATAAATAAATAAATAAATAAATCTTTGGACAATTTCACACAGCGCCAGCTAGCCCCAAAGTAAGCAACTTAATGCTTGTGTTATTAAAACTGCTTTCATAGACCTTTTCGCGATAAAACTCACTTAAAAATATAAAAATTACGGAGCGCGAAGGAACTCTAGGAGAAATGTATGGCAGACTAACGACTTGAGCGGTGTTGCGAGGCAAACCGACTTGCGCGGTGTCACTAAAATTCAAATTAAGGCTTCTTATTGGCTGAAATCTATAACATGTGACCAATGGTTAGACGCGCGATGAGCAGATCTATCCAATGGCATTAAAATGTCAAAACCGCCAAAAATCGACTTAAGCGGTGTTGTTAGCTAAGGGACGATATGTAAGATATTTTTCCATAAGGTTGGGACGCTGGTTGTCCAATTTATAAGGTTGGATTTTGTAGAAGCTGTTATTTTTTTAGATTATTTCAGGCCTTACTCCTAGACGAAATTCGGAAGTTTGTCACAAATTAACCAAAAGTTCAAAGGCACAAATCTATATACAGGGTGTTGATTTCAATACTCGCCATATTTATTTAGGTGATATATTATGACTTACATAAATGCATTATCCACCTATATAAAAGAAAGTCGTGTTAGTTACTTCGCTTATAACTCAAGAACGGCTTAACCGATTTAGCTGAAAATTGTCAGGGAGGTAGTTTAGAGCCAGGAGAAGGACATAGGATACTTTTTATCCCATTCGAAATTAAAAAAAAAGTCTGCTTATTTATTGCCATTAAGGCGGAACAAAGTTCGCCGGGTCAGCTAGTTGTATATAAATAAAAGTCCTATATTGTGTTGTACTTGTTTCGACTTTTGAAACTTATTCTTTAATCACTCACAAATAATGTCTTTCTTGCTAAAGACTGTACATTATGTAGTTTATTTTTTAATTCCATAAAATTAATTTAAACTGATGTATATTAGGTCATCCAAAGCACAACTATTCTACACTACAATGTTTTTTTATTAGGGTAAAACAAGCTTTAAATAAAAACCCATAAAGTGAAGAGATGAGAAGTGTAGTTGTGTCATATTATTTTCTATAGAATGTAAAGAATCAGTTAATTGAAGTCATTAAAGCCAAGGTTATTATTTCAGTCTATAAGAAACCAAACATATTATAACACTTTGTATGAAGCATTGGTACCTACAGGTACTAAGTTCTCTGTATAGTTACAAAATTTATGGCATTTAAAACCTTTTAATAAAGTCTTTTTCACATAAGATGCTTCCTGTGAGTCCTGTGACACTGTCATCTTTCCTGTAATTGATAGTTAATAAATCTATTCTGAAAACTTTTTTTAATATATTTTTTTTTTAGTAACAGGCGTCACATTAAAGGTTTTCATTTTTATTTCTACAAAATTGCCACCTGTGATTAGTTTCTTCTCATCAAATTCAATAAAACAGTTCAAAGTATTTAAAAGAAATGAAAAGAAGAGAAGGAAAATTTAATTAATAATCTTGCATCGCAATCGTATACATGTGACAATTTTCTAAAAATACAAAACCTTAAAAATCTCGAAAACCATGATATTTTTACCTGATCAAAATTTTATATTAGAGAGACCATAGTGAGGCTTATCAATAGTAACAAGGTTATCCATCCATTGTTTTTGGGAGACCCTGTATAAAACTTTTTAACCAATTCACTTTCAGTGTTCCTTTTTACATTTTATTCAATTAATTTATTAATACATAACTTTCACACACTATTTAAGACTTATCCTCATATCCTGCTTGTTTAGTTTCTCATTTTATGTAATATTCCTTAATTTATGACCATAATAATTTTGGATGCTCTCTTTTTACTTTATATTTTAATTTGATGTTAAAAATGATTAAGTATCAGGTTTGTTGTATATCCCAATCCCAACTAATATTATAAATGCGAAAGTAACTCTGTCTGTCTGTTACGCTTTCCCGCTTAAACCTCGCAACCGATTTTGATGAAATTTGGCATAGAGATAGTTTGAGTCCCGGGAAAGAACATAGGATAGTTTTTATCCCGGTTTTTGAAACAGGGACACGCGCGATAAAGTTTTTCTGTGACAGACAAAATTCCACGCGGGCGAAGCCGCGGGCGGAAAGCTAGTTCCATATAAAAACTGGCCTTAAAATCATGTGCATATGCATATGGTGGGGCCGGCCCCCAGAATGGTCTGGTGCGCCCCCCCCTCCAGGAAATTTGGGCTACTGATTTGAAGATGATAGTTGATAGAACTAAATCATGATTATGATACTAATCAAAGCTTGTTTTAATTTTTTTACCAATAGATGTCGCTGACTGTAAATTAGCTCGCACATCATACATTAATATTATTAAATATTAATGAGATTAGGACATTTCTTCGAAATTCTGCAGATACCTACCTACTGTGTACACGTAGGTACGACAATTATAATGCATTCCTATGGCCTTTACCTATCTGCTCAAATGGAATTAGATGAAAATATCTTTTATGAGACAAAATAAACAGTTATAAAAGAATAGGTGCTGCTCACTCATCAAGAATATCTTCGTAGTCTTTAGTCGTACATGCATGTGTAAGCAGTAGTACTTGTTATACACTCAGTCGCGCTCGCGTGCTAATAAGAGGGGTTGTGACGTGCCCAAGTGGCGAGGCAGTTGAACCCTTCGATGCACCCTCTATTAACGACCCTTTACATGGTTTACGTAACTGTGCTTAGTACATAGGTAGGTACTTACTGAATTCTAAATTTGGAATTCGTACATTTAAAAATAGCTAGTGAAGGGGGACCAACCATGAAACGTGATTTACTGGTGTAGTACAATGTTTTAGTAAGATTTTAAGATCACGATTGCGCTGATTGAATGCAAATGTAACGACCTTCCACGGTTGCCCCGCGGCCGTGGCTAGGTCGGGGTGCGGCCGCGGTGTCGTGTGGGTAACCCAACCCGTGTGTTCCAGATGGGTGAGCGCGCGCGGCGAGCGGGCAGCGGGCCTGCCGCGGCGGCTCACATGCGCTGCTACTCGCTCTGGACATCTACCGAGTGCACTATTGTCCAATAGGTATGAATATAGTGATTTGGATTTGCAGAGAGATTATTAGCCCATTTTTATTAAAGTTGCAGGTAGTGGACCCTCCACTTCAGCTTCGCTCAGTTAAATCATAATATTATGAAGTTGCAAGTTTATTTGGTCTATTCTAATTTCAGTTTTTTTTTAATGAATTAGGGCTACTTTCTCTAGAGCCGTTTTCATAATCTTAGGATCCGACAAGTAGGAAACGGCTTTAGAGATAATAGTGTCTCTTTGCAATTAAAATCATAACTGCAGTTTTAAGTATCTATTTTTTACAAAGTGCACTTTAAAATTAGCACGTCGTGTCAAGATCTTGTTCCTTCTATAATTTGGAATGTTAATTTATTAAAATTATTGACTTATACAGCTTTATTTAAATCACTAATGTCACGCCTGCATGTCGGCGTTTGTCTTTGCAGTATAATCTTAGAAATTATTGTAGGAATTTCTGTTACGGATTTCGCTAGTCGATTGATTGATGCACGAGGAAGGTCTGTGTATCGTATAATGTCAGTATGCCGCCGAGACTCGTTAAAATAAATACAAATAGGTAGCAATCAACGAACATAGTACGTTCATTTAATGTCATTAAATTAAGAGAAATTACGCATAACTTTGACATCTGTCGCTGGGCCACTCTTCCAACATGCCCGTGGTGGGGTACCCGTCGCGGTCCACGCAGTAGAACACGCCGCCCACGTTCTGGTTGGGCATGTAGTTGCCGTTGGCCTGGCACGTCTCCGTCACCGCCATGCCGCGCTCCGGGAAGTACACCGCGCTGTCACGGGCGCAGTCTGTTCAACAATCGACCGATCAATTAACAAAGTTTTTGTTCGGACAGCTTGCAACATCGACAGCTAACTGTTAAACTCACGAATGAATTTTTATGAATCGTTATTATATCTTCGATATCTTAACGCATACTTTCACTCTGCAAGAGAAAACGGCGGTTCAGTTCGGCGTGGTTCAAGTTTACAATGTTGTTACATACAATAGCAGCTAACAAGTTCCCATTTGGTAATAGAGATTGATAAGGCGATTTTAGTGTGAATCATGGTAAGCCAGTCCCACGTTACCAAATATGGCTAAGTAGGTATAATAACAACCGCCTGCGCTGCTTGCCTAAATAGTTTGAGCAACAAATTATTTAACATTTAAAACGAACGAATCACGCAGCATCCCGATCTTAATATTCTTTGTGTACAACATTAATTTTATACTTACAAATAATTATTTAACATGAGTTTTTTTAATTCTTCACTAAATCAATATTTTATAGAGTAAATAAATTAAAATGTATGTAAGCAAAAGCAATGATATATTTATAAAAAACCTATCTAGCCACGACGATCCTGTGATAAAATTCTTTGAATTTTAAGGAAGTTTGTTTTTAAATAACACTTTCCCCAATAAGGTCCCATTTGAAGCTTATGATTTACTAATATAGGTAAAATTACTTTTAATAATTCTATCACACAGCAAAACAAGATTTTGATGAAATAGGTATGTAATAAATTATTCACGTGAGGACAATCACCAGGTAGTTTAAAAAATTTTGGTTTCTTATGTAAGTTTTTGTTGTTGCATTCAAAAACAATGCTTCATTTGCATCTCGAAAGTGTTGAATATGATTATCTTTTCTTCATAAATTAATTTAAACGGTCAAGTGTCGCGATCTCCGCATTCCAACTGGTCGAGTGGAATGGGTGAACCTGTTAGGGTTGTCAATTCGATTATCGTACAAGACGTGTTATCATCATAAATGTAGTTTACCTAACTACTTACTCCCGTTTTAATTTATTTGCAACATTATTTGTTTAGAATCTATTTTTTGATAAAATACCATCACCTTATGTATTTACCCTATTTTTTAAGCAAATAAAGAATTTTAATTTTACTATGAAAATTTTAATAATTAGTTATTTAAGGTTTTTGTCTCAAAACCTTAATAAGTCCAGTAATAGCCATGATGCGGTATCAAAAACAGGGTCACGGTCGCCTCCGCCAACAGGTCGGCGACGACGTGACGTGATAAAATGCGAATGTACGATGTTAACGGTACGGCTTCCATCTCAAATGCGAGTAAGAGTGAACATCTACCGACTAACATCACTGCATTTTAACTTCACTATAACACAAGTCATTTAAAAATCCGATCCTCTATCTAGACGACCTGTCTCTGAACAAAATGAATGCATCATTTTACTTACTGCAATTCATGCCACTCATTTCGCTTGACATAACTTGCCATGATCCCAAAATTTCTCCACCTCGTCCGGTGCAGTAGGCGCTGTAATAAGTTGATTATGTTAAGTCAAGGGTGAACATTTTCCATTAAAACTGACGAGTTCTCATCTGGCGGATCTGTGGAGCTACTTCCTCCCAACTCTCTAACAATGTCCGTGTTTTCGGATCGGTCCTTCTCTCAGATACTTTTACTAAGTATCTACACTTGCGAGCAAAAGTATGGAATCACTTACATGAAGTTGTTTCCACGCGATCTTGTGTACAACGAATTTGTTAATAACAAAAAAAGTAGCACCATTTTAAAGATTAAACTTTTAACTTTAAATTGATACCAAATTAATTTAAATCACACCAGTGTTTAANACTTTTGCTCGCGAGTGTATATTATACTTACATGCTATTAGTAATTTGGAATGGTCCGTAGCTACCGTCATAGTCACAGAACGTAACCGGATTTCCTAAAAAGACAGTCCCGTGCTCAGACTGCTCTCGATGCACGGTGGCTATCGAATGGACTATACTTTCGCATCGTCGTAAATATTGCTCTCCAGTCACTGTCGAGCTATCTGTAATAGAGCAACATTTTTAATTTCCATTTTATAATTCTTGTACGAAAATATCATTTGAGTTATTCATATTGAGGGTTGGAATATCACTCACAGCATGGAAGATTCCTCATGTCTGTTTCCTGGACCGGTCCGGCTGTAGGCTGGCCCGTCTTCGGCTGGGCGCACCAGCATACTCCATCGTCGCACTGTAGCGGTTCATAGTCTCCATTCGCGGTACAGTGTAACGTCACGCCTCTGTTTACTGTGACTTCTAGTTGGGCTCTATGTCGACTGCAGGCTGTAATATGCAACCAACACGTTACCACACAAATTCCGAGTCTTGCCTGTTTGGATATCTTGAATTGGTGAGATAATAATTTTGTCCAATTGCGTAACCACCCGCATAGAGATCGTGCACCTGTCTAATAAATGTTACAGACACAAGTCACAATAGATATAGGTAAATTAACAAGCTTTGCAATCAAAATTTTAGCACTTGGGAATGGGTCAAATTCAACTTTCTGATTACCCAGACGTTGCAGATCAGTGAAGTGCAAAGCTGATTATGTATAATCTTTAGTTAAAATAAGTTCATCCCTCTTTCGTTAAATCTTATTGTAGTCTTTGGTGGTTTGGTTTTGTTTTTTATGTTTATCTTGTGTTTTGACACACGTCTTTCTGACATTTGAGTGGTTTTATGTGTAAAATTATTGTTATTTTTATTAGTGAATGCGAAAAAACAATTAAAAAGGGATATAAAATTACATCAGTAAAATATTGTACTTAAATCCACCTATTTTAATAATTAAGGTTTAAAACAAACCCAGATTATGCTGGGTTCAAAAATAAGATCCTTTATGATTTGTTTATAGTATTATCACAAAACTATGTGAAAAGTACCTAAATAAATTTAAATATAGTTAAATTGTAACTGTGCAGTAACAACCGAATATAATAGCTCAATGATGCCTGTCCAGGTATGTAAGTCATTGAAAAATATAGTTTTTGTTATTGGTGTTTTAATGTCATACTATTTCACGTTACTGTGTCGAATATAATATAGAGTAGTTACCTAATGCAAAATATGACAAAGTAGTAATGCATTACTATCAAATTACTATCTAATATAAGTACATATTACACTAAATTACCACAAGTCATTTCGCTCGCATCAGTTCTCCACATTTGTCCAAATATTCTGTTCCCTTTTTCGTCTGAACAGAAACACCTGTGTAGGTAAATTCAGAAAGTAAACATTTTCATAAATGCACTAAGCTATACTTAGTTAAAGTAACTTTTTTGAATTTGAACTGTAATGCGAACGTGTTTGCTTACCTTCCCGTAAACATGTCACCTTTACATTGTACAGGAGCATAGAGTCCATTCGGGAGGCAGTTGGAAGGGGCTGTGCATCCCGTTTCAGGTTCTAGAATTAAAAAGTAATTGAAGTGCATGGCTAGTTAAAGCTGAGGCGCGGTTTAGTCCCGATTAAAAGTTTACATGGTAAACTTGACTGACGGAACATCATTGTTTTTGCTAATGTGTGACTAAAACTATTGTATTTCAAAGTTAAGAAGCTGAGTATGTTCTCCTAAAAAGAACATACGCACGTGTAAATTTATTTACCCAGGACTGGTGTATATGTCAACGTGAAATTGTGAGCTCTGTCAGTTTATAATATAACGCGTTAGATTGTAAACTGACAGTGGGTTAGGTTAGGTTAGATTGTAATTTAACTGCGTCAGATTATAATCTGACGGAATTCACAATTTTACGGTGACATATACACCACTTTGATCACCAATGGATAAGATGACCTGGGTGATCAAAGTGGACTCATGTTAAATTATTATATTAGTTTCATTTGATCACCTGTAAATGAATCACACCTCCTCTGAATAGTGACAAACGTCCATGAAAATGAATACTCCAAGTAATTCCAAAATAATTTAATCGGTAGAGATTTTAAATATTGCTATTTTATAACTCCTAATCTCAAATGTTAGTGTAAATTGAACGTGTACTTCACCGACGTCATGATAGTTACAGAGAAAACATTACGTCCGTTATCAATAGGCGGGTATTATTCATGTTTTTTGTTAACAAAGTATAATTCCAAGCAACATTTCTGTAATTTCAACGAATGATTAAAAACAAATCGGAAATTTTGTAAAAAGTATAATGTGTGTTCAATTCTGTAATGCATGCCGATGAATTATAAGACTAATAAATTATTATTGTATGCTTTAGAACTAAAGCAGTATAGTTAATCGATCAAGTGCATTACTTTAGTTTATAAACATTTTGTCTTTTGTGAGCAGATTTAATATCAATTACCGAATCAAATGGTAGCATTATTGTTTATGTGTAATGTAATGTATGTCCTTATGTCTTGTTCTTTTTACTTGTTACTTTTTATATGTACCTATCTATGACACATGTCTCCAGGAAAGTATAGAATAACTATTTGATTTAAATTGTATTGTATTATACTGTTATTAATTGTACCCAAAACAGGCTTTAAAATATAATGTGCTCATATTACCTGGATTTCCTGGGTTGGTGGACATTTGACAGCTTGGACAGCAACCAAATACAACGGAGTTTTGCGTTAAAACTTCAAACGCACTACAATTTTCCTGAGATAGGTCTGTCACACATTTTTGCGCTATTTGGCACTGGTTGGCCACTGTTTTACACCTCAGAAATAAAAACGTAAAAACTACTACAAAATATTTCATCATCGTGAAATAAATGAAGCAAATATAATTGATCGCCTTAAACAATTAATACTGAAACAATGAAAGTGTAGGTAACGTACCCGGTAATTACTGATTGAGTTCTTATCTGTGAAATCTTATCTATCTACGTAGCTCCATGTATACTTATAATATAATATGTGCATATAAATAATATAATGCAAAGTTTTATTTACCTTCGCAATTGAATCTTTTTTCAGAGCATCGTTAACATCGTTTACTTCTATTATACCTAGCACCTAAAAACAGTTGTTATATTTTGTAGTATCTAAAACGTTATAATAATAATAATTACTCGTGTTGGTAATTTTGTAGATAAGACAATAATGATGATTAATCGTGAAGATTTTTACTGACAATAAGTTATTGGGCGTTAATCTCTTAGATTTTTTTATTTGAATGTTAGGTTTGCACTTGCGCGTTTTAATAAGAACGTATCGTTATCAGCGCTATCGCTATCTCAAGCTAAATTACGCGGAGAACAATATCAAGTAGGGCCGAGTCGCGCCGCGCCAGTGCCCGCCCCGAGCGCGCTACACCTGCGCCGCGTGCGTACTTCGCACATCGCTTATCGGATTTATCTTTAGTTTACTTACACCGCGTCCCATTTATTATTTTGAATACATGACTGTGTACGCTTATTCACATTAAGAAATTCCTATTTCAGATTGGATTAAAACGGGCGTACCCGGATAGCATGGAGGACTGTAAGAAGAGACACTCAGGCACTAAAGTTTCGAAAATTGCAAATATATTTCAAGGAATGCCGTCGAAAGAGGAAGAAGAGATGCGCGGTACCGACGTGACGGTGGTCCGAACCGAGAGCCATCTGGCGAGGTTCAATACCGCAAGGGCTCTTTTTGAGAAGTTAGGAGAAGAGAATCGTGGCTTCAGAATTGAAAAGTCACCATCTGCAGCAGCGAGTTTCGCCGGCACGCGGGGCGTCCCTCCGGCGGCGCCCGCGCGGTCGCGCTCCAGTTCGGCCGGCTCCGTGAGTCCCCCGCGGCGCATCATCACGCCCACGCCCACTGCGGCGCCGGCCGTCAACGGCGACCGACTGGCCAATGGTGCAACCCAACCGCCACCTAAACCTGCGAAACCCAGCGTTTTGCCCAAGCCGGAAAAACCAGATAGACGGTTTAATAAAGAACTCATAGAAAAGCAAAGAAATTGGACTGCTCATTTTAATAAAAATCGGCAAACGCGTCATGAGCATGAACCAAGGGATTCTAGATATACGAGTGGTTATCAAGACAGGAAATCGCCGGAAGCAACTGACAAATATGTAGTTCCCTCACGAGTTTACTCACCGCCCCTATCCCCCTGTGCTGGTGATTCTCAAGTTGAACGTCCGACTACTCTTCCTTCTAATTTAGTCAGTAGAAGTTTACCTAGTGCAAAGTCTCCTAGTCCTGTAAAAAATTTAGCTTCAGTGTCGCCCTTAACTAGATCCAATAATTTAGTGTCACCTACTGCTAGGTCAGAAATACCATCTCCGGCAATAAGAAGAGATAATATAGTAAGTTCTCCTACAAAAACAAATCCAGAGACGTCACAAGAATTTAGTGAAAAAGTTTACCCAAAAGTTAGATCATCAAGATCGCCAGAAGTTGAAAATGATGTATCTAAACACAAAGACGAATTATTGACTAATAAAATGAGTGATTATTTACATTCTCCAAATTCTGTATCCAAATCAAATGAATGGAAATCACCTACACCAACACCTCCGGCGCAAGTGCCATCTGCGGTAGATCCCGCTCCTAGATATAAGAAATCGCCACCGTCACCCCCACCAAGATCACCAAAGTCTCCCTTATTCCCAACGTCGCGAGAAGACGATAATTTAAGAGACGACCATTCCAAATCACCATCTCCTCAAGATCAACCGATCGATCTGACGTCAGATGTTTTAGACAAGGATATAGAAGCAAGTGAATCTCCGAACAACGGATCGCCTAAGTCCCCAACTCCATCACAAACTTACGGAGTCCACGAAACAAGAGACGGCAGTGATCGTGATCAACCTGATTCACTGAGTCCAGAGCAATACCATGTGACGGATACTTCACCGAAGCCATCAGACACTGTGAGCTTGGATGATGATGGTTATGAGGCGGTACAGTATGATGCAGAATGGGAAGAAAAATCAAAACGACGTTCGTCGACGCCCGAATCGCCTGTAGGAGTTACGGAGGCGGACGAAGCTACGCGCTCGCCGCTAGCGTCGCCGCTAGCTTCTCCTGTGCATCACCATGTGTATTCTTCGCCTCCTCCGTCGCTCCACACTTCACCTTCGCCGGGTATGTACCATTTCAATATTAAATTACTATCTGCCATGTAATAAACATGCTAAATTATTGTTTTCGAACACGAAGGTCTACGTAATTTCTTATCTGGTTTCTTATTTTATCTAATAAATGTATTTTAAAGGGAACAGTATTATCGTAGAACTATCATGGATTGTATTAATAACATGACACATTGACTTTGCTGGTATAACAATGAAAACAGTAAAGTAATATTAATATATCGGTTAGGTTTTGAAACTAACATACTTAGACTAATCAACTTTACTGATCCATAGTAGGATTCAAAGGATCCCATAAAGCACAATATTTGAAAAAGCTTCCTAAGACGAGTGGGATAAGGTTGTTTTGGTTTGATGAAAATTTGGAATATAAAAGCACTATCTTTTATGAAGTTCGCGTTGTATCAATTTATCGTGGGAAGTAAATGATCCTAAGAAGTTCAGTGGGCGGCGATTGACGTACGCTTGGCGGTCTCGTGGTCGACGGGTTCAATGTAATATTGAGGAAGTCAAGGTATTTGAGTCGTCGTGAGAGTAGCGAGTCGATCCCGATTTAGATGCTCCGGCGCCGCCTCCGCCGTCGCGACGCAGTAACCCGAGCGACGTCGTCCTGCGCGCATGCGCTCCCTTTCATTTATTCCTTTATTTCGCATCATTAACTGGGACATCCGTTTTAACAACTGCATTGTTCGTTCAAGACGTGTAACTGTATCTGTGTCGACTCTAAGACGGTTCTGTTTACATTCATACGCGTGTGTGCGTCTCTCTCCCGTGTAAGATAATTTTCTTTGGAATGTTAACAAAACATCAAAATAAACTCTCAACTTCATTGGACTACAGTGTTGGAAGTTTGTGAGTCTATGCAAATTATTTTTTGATGCAAATATGTCGACCTTAAGCTATTCATTTTTCAGTTTCTATATTTTCGTTTCATTTTAGTGTGAGACATAACTTCACACATTTCTTTCTATGAAGAACGTCCATCAAATGTGTGTCCTTTACAATGAGCAATCAAAATCCGTGTAGATGTACAGTCGGTTCTGAGCATCAACGTGTTTGTTTTTTCTCTAGTCCAAAATAATTGACCTCTACTGCCTGAATTGAAACGTGACCTGCCTACACCATGTTAGTAATCTTGTCTGGTATTTTAGAATACAAATAAATTCGTCGCGTAGCAACTTTGCCAAGTTATCTGTCTCTTGTTTACGTTATGAATAGAATCGTTACTGTCAAGAGTTTTACTTTCACTTAACATGTTATGTATTTCAGTACATTTACAATTTACTTTTGTTGTATTTTTCTTCTTTTGGGAGTCTAAACGTTAGAGTTGAAAAAAGGAAGTCGTAAGATAGCAAAATAGGACGCTTGGAGTTGAAGGTGCGCGTGAGTGTGCAGGGTGTAGGGCCTGGCGACAGTGGTGCATGCGGTGATGACTCGCGCCGGCCGGCCCGCGCGCGCTCGCCCGACATGCGTCTCTGTGGATGCTGCCTCGGTTAGTGCCACCTTCTCAAATACTAAGCTTAATGGCTCGCTCGCCGTTACAGTTTTCTTGCATGAGTCGCTCGAGTTTTACGCCTTTTTAACACATGGCCGGTTTACAGTGTTGTTAACCCATTTAAAATACCGGTAACCGTGTTACTATTACAGGGTGTCCGGTAAATAAAGTTTATTGCGTAAACAGGTGCTAGGGCTGTTCAAATATAAAATTGCCGTTTCGTATGGAGATTGGAAACGTCTATTTTTTAGAATAACAAATCGAAAATTTATTAATATTTTGTGGGTTGTTTTAGCTATAGAGTAGACATTATGAAGATATCTGAAACATATAAAATATGTTTGAAATTTTGTCACGCAAACAGACGCCATTTAGGACGAGTTATTTTTTTATGTTAAACAAAGAATCCATAATCTTAATCACACACAGCATCTGTTTTACTATTAATTTTATCTTGTTGGAGTTAAGCTCGATTTTCATTGCGTTGGTGAAAATGTCGTGATCAAGTCTCTAAATTAATCATGATGCATATTATACCGTATGTAAAATCCACTAAAACAATAAAAAAAGTTATCAAATTATTCGAACTAATTATACAAAAGAGATATTGCATGCAAAAATAATGACTTTATTTCATATTCATCTTAATTTCATCCGATTTCATTAGTTTTTCCACATTATTGTCAGCAACGTACTAAGAATATGACTCTGTCGTTGTCTATTTGGGAAGGTCGTTCTTATTAATCTTATCATTTGAGGTTTAACCACTCCGCTGAATTAAAATACATTGGTTTCCTTGTTAAATGTGGCTGAGGGATCCTAGATCCACATAAAAAGACGCAGTAGGCTTTTAAATATAGGTGATTAATTGTGTTTTGTTACTTGTTGTAAACACTAACAACACAAACTGCATGGCTCACGTGCTATTATCACTATCTCATAATAAGCACGTATAAGTTCAAGATAATTTGAAACATGAAGAACATTAATTACTAGAATTACCTGTTATGCCATAATACACAATAATGGTCCCGTTGTGTTTGTACGGCGCTTGTTTCAGTATTGCAAACCTAATTTCTAATAACGTTCCGGTCGAGTGTGGCCAAGCATTAATTAGTAAAGTGGATGGATATGAGCATACGACTCGCTCTCGCTGAGGCGGGATCGCGTGATCGTTCCGTGCAACGGTTATTGCAAATTCATGTTTTGCATAAGCCATCTATAATGCTCCTCCGGCCTAAGTTCCAACTGGAATCTTTTAGCAGAGTGTTAGGATAAGGGTCTGCAACTATTTAAGGATGCAAATACCAACAAAAATAAGATAACATTATACATTAGAATCATTGTGTACATGCTATCAAAATTTAGGTTCACTATGAGTAATATTGTGAGGTATTTATGAATGTACGCCGCGTTTACCGCGATGCCGTGTAGTTAAAGTGCTTTTAAAAATAACTATTTCAGTAGCCGAAATTTATAATTTGCTGCACTACGATTACGAACCACTTCCTTAACGTAATGGGTGAAGTGAGCATTATCCTGGATGCCATAAACATGGCTTAAATGTATGCAAGGATTATTATTAGAACGTAAATATTTATGCTCAATTAATAACTAGTAATTTAGGAAAAAATAAACTTTAATTTAATGGTCCATTCATCATGTGGTTTTTAGATGGTAGTAACTATACATATTCACGTTAATGTACCTATTATTGAATTAAATTAAACGTCAGGTATTGTACTTTAGGAATACAGCATACATCTACAGGTATAGACGAGGCAATAAAAAAATATTAAGCAAATATTTGACAATAGCATTAAATTATATCCAAATTATTGATAAAGTTTTCGTATTATTCTTCAATTAATTAATTTAAGGCACATGAATTAATATTACGCATTAATTGCATTACTTCGTCGATAGACTGCAATGCAATTACTCATTTTATTTTGACAAAATGATTAATTTATAGATCCTTTTCTGTCCTCGGTAAAAGTTAGTTTGACCACTTCCTACTGCGTCGTTTGGGAGAGATCAATAAGATCGCCCAGTCTACAGGGTGGAATTTTGAATGCCACCTGGAGGGAAAAAATTAGCTTGCCACACCCAGGAATCGAACCAACTAAAATTTGATAAAAATTACACCCTGTATTTTTATTTCATCGATCGTTAGGGTTAAGTATAAGGATGAAATCTCTCTAACAAACTTGATAAATCAAATGAAAGGAAAACCATGGAATCTTAAATTATTTACAGAAAATTATATGGTTTGGTGGCGAATTTTGGAAGTTTCGAAAATCTTTGAATGCAGTTCTCTTTCTTTTCAAAAATAAAGGAATGTTTTCTTTAAGTAAAATTTTCTATCTACAGTATTAAGAGTACTTTCCCTCCAGGTGGCATTACAAAATTCCACCCTGTATATTTTCTTCTTTTGGGCGTCTAAACGTTAGAGTTGAAAAAAGGAAGTCGTAAGATAGCAAAATAGGACGCTTGGAATGCAGTTCTCTTTCTTTTCAAAAACAAAGGAATGTTTTCTTTCAGTAAAATTTTCTATCTACACTATTAAGAGTACTTTCCCTCCAGGTGGCATTACAAAATTCCACCCTGTATATTTTCTTCTTTTGGGCGTCTAAACGTTAGAGTTGAAAAAAGGAAATCGTAAGATAGCAAAATAGGACGCTTGGAATGCAGTTCTCTTTCTTTTCAAAAATAAAGTAATGTTTTCTTTCAGTGAAATTGTCTATCTACAGTATTAAGAGTACTTTCCCTCCAGGTGGCATTACAAAATTCCACCCTGTATATTTATGATATTATTGATGTCTCAGCACTTGCCAAATGTTGGTCGTCTCGAAGCGCTGGTAGGGTAAAAAGATTATGAGACATGTAGAGGCTCCTTAAGAGCAAAATGGCGATTTGTAAGAACTATTTATTAGTCTAAACAAATAAAGAAATTTTGACTTTGACTTTGTCATCATGGCATGTGGCTTTCCAGTGGGCGGAGGTCGCAACCGCAAGTCGTCGGAGGCGGAGGAGACGCCGGTGCGCGGCGGCTCGCGCGCGTCCAGCGTGTCGGACGAGGGCGGCTTCAACGAGCCGTCGCCCGGCGTGGTGGCGCGGCTGCGGCCCGCCGACTACCGCGAGCCGCCGCCGCCGCTCACGCGCGACCACCGCGACGCCGAGCGCGCGCGCTCCGACCCCGACACGCTGTCTGTCTTGCAACAGGTACCATCGGCAACAGTGTTAACTATCCATTGCCTGTCATGTCGTCTCGTTCTATCGCAAAGAATCACCATTTGATGAGAGCGAGAGCAAAAACGGAAATGAATAGTTAACAGTGTGGCCGTGTGTACGTGCTTTTCTACTTACTTATAAATGTGACCTAGTGAAGGTAGCAGGGCCCCGATTGTGCTAAAAATTTTCTACTGCAACACGATTGAACGACGAATAAAATTCAGATTTATGACGAATCCGTATAGCGGTATCGTTTTGACAGCTAGTACGAAGTTGAAACGTAAACGGAGCGCAACTGCGCCTTTCGTAAAAGCTGACACAAAGTTACTTTTTCTCAAATGCATCACGAACATTAGCTTTTTAGTAATTTTAGTTTCTAAAATAAGGTGTTCGGACTTTTGATGGCAAGATCATAAATGTGTTGTTTCGTCTTTGTTAGCGCGTGAACTTTATCGAATTGCACATCAACTGGAGATAAACGCGAATAAATTAGCGCAATCGGGACACAGGGCGGCTCTGGATGCAGGCCGCTGCCAACCGGCTAATCTGGGAAGCATTGGAGTAGTCCTATATTCAACAGTGGATGCCCTGCTGAAATGATGATGAATCGTCATTTGAAAAATTGAAGATTTGCTAAAATCAACGTCATAGTTCAAAAAGATTTCTGTGTATGCGGTAGGTACTCCTTTGTGTCACGAACGTCCCGATTAAGCAAATTGTACCAAATTTTCGCATAGAGCCGCAAAGCGGAAGTTACTTACGAAGAACACGCGACGTATTCACACACGCAAACTCAACGGTTCTGAAAGGAACCATTTTCATGTTCATTAAAGTATTGCAGTCAAATATTTTGAACTTTGTCATAATTTCTTACTATTTTGAATTGTGATGTGATGAGCACAAACATACACAGAATGCCTTTGAGTCGCGCAATTGGGAAAAATGACAAGGGTTCGGCAAAGTAACCTCCCTTATTCCTTCTGATGATTCTCGTTAGTAACTAACCGGCATGGCCTTGAACGTTTGTACACTTTAATAATAAATAATAATAATAATAAATATCCTTGGACATTTTACACTACGCTTCTAGTTCCAAACTAAGCAAAGCTTGTACTAAAGGTACTAGACAACGGATATAAACAATTTAATGATATATTTTGTAACATCTCGCCTGCAGGACTCGGGCGTAGTGGTGAGCGAAGCGAGCCAGGGCTCCATAGAGGTGCTCGACAAGTCGACCACCAGCCAATGGAGCGTGTCGGAGGCGGACAACGCGTCGGGGGAGCCGCGCGGCGCCGACGCGGCCGACGCCGAGCCGCGCTGGGACGACAAGCAGCCCGACAGCATGACACCCGACGAAGCCGAGATCCTCCTCAGCTCCAGGTAATGCTACCAATGTAAACTCCGCTACGACGTTTTCCGCTATACTCGACCACTTCTCGATCCTTATGCTACGTTATTTCGACAAAAAGTTAATTCACATCCACTTACAAATCGAACAAAAACTGCATTTATGCACGGACTGTGTAATGTGTACGGATTTAATAGCTCTGTTCTGTATGTTGCAATAAAAATCTATGTAGCAACATCTTTCCTTTGTAGTGCATGTGTGTTGTTTCACTCGTATTTGACCGATGACATACTCGAATAACAATGTAGCCGTTTTGAGTATGTCTCTATTAGCTTTATTTCTTTTAATCGTATTTTTTTATTATTTGCATGCTGCCTGTCCGCACAACGCTTCATTATTACCTGATCTGATCACATTTGCAGTATTTTGGAGAAAAAACTTCGGTAAGCTATTTTATTGGCATTTTCAAACCATCTAAAGCTACGAACGCACGATATACTAGTTTGTTTGCGATTTTGATCTTGATTTTTTTTATTATGTCAAGTTTAGTGTAATCAACCGTGAAAACCGTCCTGACGTGAGTTCATAGCTTAAGTTTGGCTACCTTACTTTGTATTCTAGCTAGTTTGTGCTAAATACTTATTTGTTATCTTGTTTGCTTGTTTCTACTTTTATTATTTTAGATAAGTCTTCCTTCGTTTTTCTATTTACTTTCTCAGAATTTTAGAATACGTTATTATAATTCTTGATACCGAGTCATTTGCCATTTATAATGGGGAGGTATTTGTAAAAATTTGATATCGCTCTTCAAGCCACGTCCACGATCCTCTGGTTATCTGGAGACAGGCTTGGGTATAGTGCCAGAGTAGATACAAATGAATAGCATCTTCATAGGAACGCATCGAGCGCGGTTTGTATGTGAGCGCGCGCCAATACGTATGCGGCGCGCACGCACACACTGACAAAATTCGGCGCAACACCCCGCTAATCCACGCTAAATTTTGTCAGTATGTGCGTGCGCGCCGCATACGTATTGGCGCGCGCTCACATACAAACCGCGCTCGGCGTTCCTATGAAGATGACCTACTCATTTGTATTTACTCTGATAATGCTAAGCGTGTGGTGGTGGGTTGCAGGCAAGAAGCTCTGCTGTCGGACGAGCAGGCGCAGGAGATCGCCGCCATGCTGTCGCCGCACACGCTGCCGCACGACAACGGCGTCTCGCTCAACGACAGCTACCAGTCCGTACTCTCCTACGAGAGGTGAGTATCCCCGTTACTCGTGTTTTCGATTCAGGTTGTTGACACTTCATCATCATCATCTTTTCAACCATAGGACCATAGAATGTGGGGGGACGTCTCACACTGCGTTTTCCGGTACGCGGCCTCCACTCCAGAACTTTGCTGCCCCATCGGCCGTCAGTTCTGCGTACTATGTGCCCTGCCCATTGCCACTTCAGCTCGCTAATCCTTCGAGCTATGTCAGCGACTTTAGTTCGTTTACTTATCTCCTCATTTCTAATTCGATCTCGTAAAAAAACACCGATGATTATAGCCCCTGATAGCACGCTGTACAACTTTGAGATTCTGTATAAGGCCTATAGTGAGAGGCCACGTTTCCGTTGACACTATTAAATCAGTAATTCCGAAAATTCCAAAACACTTCATTAAAGTCCTGAAAATATAATTTGTTTAGAATCGAAATTTAGGTCGTAATCTATCTATGCTAATAATCGCCAGTCCCGCATCAGAAATTAACAAAATGGTTATTATTACAAACCCGTCTTTGCGTCCCCAGTATGCAGTCAGTGGACGAGAGCTACGAGTTCGTGTCCCTCGAAGCGGACAACGGCATGGCGGGCGGTGACCGCAAACTGCCGGCCGAGGCTCGCGCCGAGCCCGAGCGCGCGCCCGAGCCCGAGCGCGAGCACGAGCGCGAGCCCGAGCGCGACGAGGGCACGGTGTTCGACCACTACCCGCCGCAGCCGCTGCGCGAGCTTGCCGAGGAAAACGGCATACATTACTTCGAGGATGGACACTTCTATACGGAGGTGCGTTGCGTGCTTCTCGACTGTCAAATGTGTACACAAGCCAGTCGAGGCAATTGCCTGGCGTAAATTTTAAATTTAATTTATTCGGAACACCGACAGCGACGAGATACGATGTGTACTCACAAAGTAACATACTTTCTTAGCTATTTACAGACATTAGTATTTTACATGATTATTAGTAGCTAACGAAGCCTGATGCGAGTGAAATTGTAAACACAATTTCAATAACAATTGCCGGCATTTGACAGTGACTTGCGACACAAATTGCGATCAATTTGTTAGTGTTTGCTTTTGTAATCACCTTACAATTTATTTCATTTCTAGGTCGAAGGACTTCCGCCTATCGAAGAAGTCGAAGACGACGATTATTACCCGCCAGTATTTGTTAAGAAAAGCTCGAGAGTTAAATTCAGGTATGACTCTCTTTAAACACACGTGTGCTTACACCGTTGGCAGAATAAAATGCAATAATTCAGGTTGGTTCGTTCGTTCGTTCGTTCCAGCCGAAAGACGGACAGACGTCCACTGCTGGACAAATGCCTCCCTCAAAGATTTCCACAAAGACAGGTCCTGCGCCACTCGCATCCAGGCACCTCACGCGACCTTCACCAGAACGTCGGTCCACCTAGTGGGAGGCCTGCCCACACTACGTCTTCCGGCTCGCTGTCGCCACTCGAGAAATTTTCTGCCCCAACGGCCATCGCCTCACGAGCTATGAGCCCCGCCCACTGCCACTTGATTTTAGCAATTCTGCGAGCTATATCGGTCACTTGGGTTCTCCTGCGGATCTCCTCATTTCTGATTCGATCACGCAGGGGAACTCCGAGCATAGCGACCACGTTTCAGATCCATATACCATCACTGGCAACACACACTGGTCAAAGACTATTGTATTAAGAGCGTTTACGCCGTTTGGCGCAAAAACAGTACTTTTTCAACTCGTTACAATCATTAACGNTTTCGGGTAGTAATATGTCAAAATTGTTGGTTCTTTAGGCGAACAATGTATGGAGAACGAACATTGTCCTTTGAACCCTGAAAACTCAATATAGTTATTTTTCAATTATTTCCTTTAGGTATTAATTACTTAATCAATAGTACCCAAGATGAGACTATGTTTGTCTAAAAACAAATCGTAAAGCGATGCTGAATTAATGATTGATATTTGATACATTTGGAGTGGTTCGCTCAAAGAGCTAATTATTCGTTTGCCTCCGGACTGCAGCGACCGTGCTTGCGAAACTGCGGCAAAGCTTACGGTGAGAGACCAACTACCTACATATAATGATGTGGATAGACTCTCTCTACTTATAAAATATTTTGAAGATTATAGACAGACAGAAAAATATTCAATTTGATATTATGATCATCAGGCTATTTTAGTCTGTACCGCGGGAGCGCAATCCTCTCTAATTTTCAGAGATAGATTGGCTTACATTTCCACGCTGATCAGATGAGTTGGGGAGGTCTATGCTCTATGGGTTGGGGAGGCTATGTGTCGCTTTAGGACAACCACGGGACGAGTGCGGATAGTTTATTCCATTCTGTCAAAACCTTGTATTTTTTTTTTATGTGATAGGAGGCAAACGAGCAGACGGATCACCTGATGGTAAGCAATTGCCGTCGCCCATGTACACCCGCAACATCAGTGAAGTCACAAGTGCGCTGCCAACCTTTTAAATCCCATTCGCCCCCAATTGGGCCTCCGGTATCCTCACTCACTCGGCGAAACACAGCGCAAGCGCTGCTTCACGCCGGTTTTTTGTGAGGCCGTGGTATCACTCCGGTCGAGCCGGCCCATTCATGCCGAAGCGTGGCTCTCCCACGGATAAGGTAGGGTAGGGTAGGGATTGTATTTGGTAGGGCTACAAAATTGGCGTACATTCAGCTGTTATTATGTCTGTAATCTCCTTAATGTCATGCAGTAATAATTCTTCAACTTTTCTTGCGTCCAAGGTAGTTATCCTATTTTTGACACCGTAACGTGTGGTCACAGCATGTGTCTGGCCGACGTCATTCAAGCATCGGTTCCACAGCATTTATATCTCGTTTACAGTGGCCATACGTCTTGCAGTGCTTTACTGCGGCTACGATCCGTCTGGGGATTGAAATTGGTGCAACAAAATTGAGTGATGACGTTAAACGTTTTACTGCAAAGTCTTGAAATTGCCGACTTTAATTTAGCTGTGCCAAACGATTTTAAAACAACAAGACAATTTTAAGATCCTAGAGAGTGTGAATCAAATATGCGGAATCGAGCTTTTTGGTGCTCTATAAACGTCTAGCAGTGGACTGCAGCAATGAAATAAAAGAAGATGAAATCTCTAAAATAAAAAAAGATGAAGAGCTTCCTCGTTGTGAATAAAAAAAAATCGCTCGGAGGGCCTTACTTAACGACATAGGATTGCTAGAATTTATAGCAGCAGATCTGGTTTAGGGAAGACTGTATCTATAGCGATCTATCGATTTAAGAGAGCTTTCAAGCCCTAAAGCATTCCGGTTTCAGAAACTACATTTTATTTGTTGTTATGTAAGAGGTGTAAAGTCGGATTGGTGCTTAGAATAGTGTTCAATAATAAAGTTCAAGCTATCTGCATATGACCCTATAAAGAGAATACAACGGCGATGGGCGTCAGTAACCCGGCTGTAAGGTCTTGTGATTTAGCGCTGACCGCTAGCTTGCAGGGTTGGCGATGTTAAGTTTAATAATTTAGCAATTTTTTAATTGACCACAAATCTGTTTATTGTGCATTTTGAGATTTTCAGGTAATTTCAGTCAAATGTTTCGATTTCGTAGTTTAATTTACGGTATAGTGCCAGAACGGCATAATCGGTATAATCCAGTCCACTAATAAACTATACATAGAAAGTACAGAAATGTAACAATCGTTTTGTTTTATGAAACAATATTTGCTAAAATTATTTGATGAAAGGATACTATATTTTTATAAAAGCTGCTTGTTAGCTTTAGCTAATTAGTTTGCTATTAACGTTTGTTGCTAGTTTGCTATTAACGAGTCCCAGTATCAAGTAAGTTTTAGTACAAACATTCTATTATCTGAGTAAGTTTTCAGCATAAAGTTGAGAACCCTACATCACCTGTGATATGACGCAAGCATTACGGCGGAGATAGTGCACAACTGTGAGGCGCGACATTTGCCGCCATTTGTAGGGGCCTCACTAATGAAGCGCGTTTCAGCGAAGATTGATGGACAGATGGAGTCAGCCGCGGAATGGGTTTAAGTACACCGGCTCTTTAATATGGCGTCATAAATTAAGTAAGTATATTAGTAATTTAGTATTACTCCAAGATCTAAAAATAGACAAAGACTTATTAGACCAACGCTCCATAAAATTAATGACAGATTAAATTTTAGGACTCTTTGGTAAGTAAGTAGGTACCTACGTCCTTTATTCACATAGCAGGTTTAGTTCTTATGTTGGTATTTTAACATTGTTTAAACTCACTAATCTAACATATTTAACAAATATTTGACGAGTAATAAGTGAACGAATTTCGCTTGAAGTACCTAGGTGCGTATTATTGAAATTGCGGTTAAAATTGTGTTTAAAGATACTCGTAATTATGCGAGGCTGGACTCCATTAGACCCCATTTATTTGCGCCTACGTTTTCACATTTCGGCAGTGTTTACATAAGAAATGGCAAACTTTTAATAAATTCGAATACCTAATTGGAAAGTTAGCACTTAATTTGGCATTATCCATTTACATTACCCTCAATAAATTTAGCTCCGCATATAATTAAAGTCTGTGGGAGAAAGGCTCGTGGTTCTTATTTGTTTTATGCTAACATTCATGTGTCTTTCGTGTTTTATTAAGAGCTGTTCCTTCAGAATTTCATTAAAAGTTATTTTATTTTTGTTTAGGGGGTTTTCAACTGAGTAAAAACTGTACTGTGTCTGCTGACTCTATGAAAAATTAGATGTCTGTCTGTCATCATGGCCGATAATTTTTATCGGAAAATCAGTTTGATTTAATTTTATATTGTCTTTAATCTGCAACTGATTTTAGGACTTTGCCTGCTTTACCTGGGGATCAAATGTAGATACCGAGTATTTTTTTTAAATCTAGTCACTGGTTATTTAAGTTACATGTTAGAGCGTACACTTATGTTAAGGAATACCACTCTTCCTTCATACGTTTACATTCAGTTTCTGTTAAAGTTAATATTAACTGTGGTAATTATGTTTTAGATGTAGATAGTGCCCCTTTCCGATGAAACGACGAACTTTCTGGATCATGAAGTTCACATTTGATCTATTGGTGCTCACATTTGATCTGTCTGTAGGTGTGCAGTCAAAAGACGTGGTTTCCTCTCGCGCAGCGTGGCAATATCGGTCAGTGAAGGGCGCCCGCGCAAAAGGGCCTATTCCGCAACGTTTTTCCTTATTTTCAGCTCTACCTGTCACATTCACACCCCATGGTATCTCGGGCTGTGTGAGAGAGATGAATATAGCAAGAAATTTTCACATCGGCTTACAGAATAGCACCGTAGGCGCAGCCAGCCGCACTGGCGTGCGTACTACCACCATTATCGATTCCGTGGTGCTACCATGACTAGTATTTCCATTTAATACCTATGATTATTACGTTTAATGGAAAATAGATTTATGAACTTGCAGACACTTTTAACTGGCAATATTTAGGGTTGGGTGCGCCGTTTTAAAATGTCGACCAATTATATTTGTGTTTATAGCGCAATCTCAAAATCTTTCTACAATGGTTTAGTCTGTTTTTGAGTATAAAGTATATAAGAAAAAAGTAAATAAGAAAGTCGCATAATAAGTAATGAACGGGTCATTATTATCAAAGTTTGTATGCGACATAGCGTTTTATTATTTTATGCTTCTGCTATCACATAAATCTTATATAGAACGTTCTATTTATAGGAGCGTTACATAAGTAATTTGTCAGTAGATATTAATTAGTCGCAATGTAATGAGTGTGTAGTCTATGTAAATAACTGGAAATATTATTAAACTTAGTACGCACGTCGCAATTTCGTGTAAAAGATAAGCTTTAATATTAATTGTATTTAGTCTCTATGATTAAAGATAATTAGAATTGAATCACCGTCATTTAATGAGGAAAATGTATATTTATTACCAAGTAAACAAGCAAGACTGTTACAGTAACGTTACAATTATATCCTGAGAACAACCTCTAAGTCTGTCTACATGCAAACTTACGAGATGAGTGTACATAGGAGGTAGAGTCGATTATATGAGTACATACTTTTTGCAAAAAAGCAACTGCATAATTCAGAATAACATAAGATGCCGCAAAGTTTAGTTTGATGTGTCGTCTGTAGTCATCCGAACTAACGTAAGACTCCGTTAAGAAATAATGAAGGTTGAAAGAAGAAGTGTGACTACAAAAACTAACGAACTGTGTCTATCAGGCCTTGTTTAGTCCTTTCTAGTTAACTGACATATGCAACGGGCTCACTATGTTTGGAAAGCCGTAAAAAATAATGACAGGCCCTTGTCTGAGGACAATATAGTTAATCAGTATGTCGTCCACTTATATGGTGTTTCATAGAGTCGGCCAAGAAACATCGGCACTCCTAAGGTTGACGTGTTCAGTGCATATTACTCACGTTTTAAATTGCTGTAGGACAGTAAATGATAATTTACTACACCTAATGTCAACAATTATTACCAGTTAACGGCCGGCCGATTTATAACAGAATAGGTTCCTAACCGTTGCCGCAACTAAATAAACTACCTATGTAGGTCAGCTATTCGACAGTCTATAGACCCCATAGCACTAGAGCCAACTTGTGCAATAACAAGTATTTAAGATGTTTAAGAAAAATATGTTCGGTTTGTGAGAAGCGTTGCACAAGTAGACAGCATCGCGCAGGTGATGGCCAAGGAGCGCATTCGCGGGCAGAGGTGAACGCACGACATTCGCGGTGAACTTGACTCGGATTTACCTTTGCTTTGTTCACTACAAACATTGCCGCAATGTTGCATAATACTCACCGCGCCTCGTTATTCAATACGTGCGATAATACCCATAATATGCCCTAATGTCTTAAACCGATTCCGGCCGCCTGTGTTGTAAGCTCATTCCAATTTGCTCACGAATAAAATGTTATCTGGGTTCCACAATATCAAACGCTTCCTGTTTGTGTCGAAACGAGCGCATTACGAAATTGTACCCTTCCAATATTCCGCAGTAATCGGCGCGTCAATGCGATTCCAGGGTACGGACCGTGAACCCGTCGCGCGCGCATCTGTTTACTCGCGTCGGATGATCCGAGGCCGGTATATAAGCCGGCGGCCTGAACACCCGGCACCATTCGCGATTAACCGCCACCGCCGCGAGCTTCCGCAGAACGAGGCCAGACTGACCGCGAACTGATTGGCACAATTGCTCCCAACCCTTCCGCGATGGCTTCCCCGCGCCTGGTGCTCGCCGTGCTGCTCGTGACGCTGGTAGCCTGCCAGGCCGCGCCATTCTTCGATGCTATCTACGACGCCATCAACGGCAACGGCCGCCGCTCCTACGGCTACGGCAACTACGACTACAGCGGCTACAACGGCTACTATCCAAGCTACAACGCGCCCAAGCACGTCGACCGCGCGCCGCGTCAGGGGAAGACCTACAAGGAGATCTGCAGGGTGCACTTCCCCGACTCCGTGGCCGTGCCCGGCGCCGGCGGCATCGTGTGCCCCTACTGAGGGTCGGATCGCGTGTTCTACGCCGTGGAGCGCCTGCTCCGACGCCGCAACATTATGAGGATGGGCTGATTCATACGTCCTGTGCAACACGATCGAAGCTTCTTTAACATGACACAGTTTGCCTGGTGTCAGTTACAAAAGAGGTCACCATGTCAAGCCCATCTAGCACCAAACGTCTATTGTTGTTAATGCAAAGTATTAGTGATGTAAATAAAGTAGAATCAGTAGATCTTCCTCTCATCTTAGTTCTGTGAGAGTAATGTTGTGTGGACTCTCTCTGGTTGCTTTAGTGTTCTGGTTGACTTTAGCCGATGTGTGATACAAAGTTTATCTCGGTGTGATAACCTTGTGATAATATATTCGTGTGTAATATACTATAATAGTTAATCGCTCTAGTTTCTCTGAATGTATCGCCGGATGAACAGTGCATAGAACACGCGATGTTACTTTGTGAATATAATGTTGGATTATTCATAATTGGCTTATTGTACTTAGAAAAAATCCAAATTGGGTTAAAAATTCTGCCAATCATTCCTACTGCCAAAGGTAATGTTTACATGGATAGTGTTCGCCTATGTGTAAGAAAAAAAAATACTACTGTTATTATGCATGTTCGTTTGTAAATATTATTTTAATGTAGTAAATAAATTATTTCCCTCTTTAATTTTTGTATTAATTTGCCCGATATTGATGTAAGATTTACGAGTAGGTAATTATAATAATACGTAGTGTATTGTTACTCAAAGCTATATTATAATCACATTATGAAAAACTTTGATAAACTTTTAGTTACAGTATACTTTTATATCGTACACACATTACATTACACTTCATCATGGTAATAATTTAGTCTGTAGTAATGAGCTTATACAAAGATTTCTTAAATAATAAGTCGTGTAGTATTTATTTTATTAACTTAAAGTGCCTACACTTCAATAGAAGGTTTCCGCAGTTAAATAGGCAAATCAAAATTTACTCTATGGCTATTTCAATAAGGTTTATGTAAATGAGAGGTGATAGTTACCCTAGACGAGCTTAGTGCAGTGAACATCACCATAAACATTTTACGATCCCGTTCATCTCACGGGGGCTAGTGATAAAACACCTTTTCTGACGATCTACACACAGGCAATAAATATCCGTGTTTACCTATTACAACACATTTTTTATGCAAATCACAACAATATATGATTATTTTGGTGGTTAACATTTTTAATATGAGAAAAATTGAGATTGTATCCGAGGTAAGTAAGTAAAGTAAAGTAAGTAAAGTAAAGTAATGTTTATTTCTCACCAACATAACAGATAATACACATTATGTAACAAACAATCAGAAAAAAAAAGTAGGTACATAAAGTAGTTGTACTCGTATTAAAAAATAAAAGAAGATAGGACAATAGCCCAACGGTGTCCAAGTCCATGCCAATTCGAGGGATTGCAGGTCAATCCTCGTCGTGTGCTGCAACATTCTGGTGAACCCAAAACATGTTTTAGTAATTTGGGAACTACGAGTATAAACTTAATCACAATTATATAAAAAGACACCCTGATCAGCTTAGTCATGTTAATGTCCATGAAACTGGTTTTCAATGAGGGAAAATACTAAAGAACTGAAGGAAAAGCGATTATCTATTAAATAAAAATTATACCCATTTTAGTGTGCACTGGATTACCCCTTGTGATTTGCTGTCAACATTTTTATTGCAGATATATATTTTATTATCAAGCGAGTCAGGTGCATTCTGAATCCTAAACAGATATTACCTTATTGATAACACGGGTATTATTATGTCAATCATCATATCCTCCATTGTGTGGGATGTAACAACTAAGGTCAGAGATACTGGATGAACCACCATACGTGACGGGACGTGACTTCGCACGGGATCATATTTCTTCAGGCAATCGGATTGATTTAAGACTGCATCATCATCATTTCAGCCACAAGACGTCCACTACTGAACATAGACCTCCCTCAATATATTCCACATCGCTTGGTCGCATCGCAAGACTGCAAATTTTATCAAATTCCTGTCTAGACTAGGCATAAATACACAACACACAGTGATTGTCAACGATGTGTGCCCTGCCTGGGAGTGGAACCCAGAACCTTCTTTATAGGCGAGAGAGTATCTCTCTTCTACTACTTGTTTTCCTTAACTTCGAACTCCTCCTGTATTCTTCTAATAATTAATTTCATTGCGGGTCCAATGACAGTTTAACTTTCCCCCGGGACCAACTTGACCTTCACTGGTTGGGTTTTTATTGGCGGTCTAGCTGTAGATCCTGGCTACACAGGAGTTGCAGCGGTGAAAACGAGATGTGGGAATAGTCCCGTTACTTGTCTTCTATAACTACTCTACTAACTCCTGCTACAGACGTAACTGAGTGTTACAACTTGTACCTATTTTATTAACATGAGCTTTGGGTTTGTTAACCCAACACCATATTATGTGACATGCATAAAAATAATTTGAATTGATTATTTTTTACAAACAATTGCTACGAGTACACGAGATGAATTCAAAAACATAATAATTAAAATTCCTAAGACCTTGCTTGTCAAAACAAAATATCGGTTTATTATGCGATATCTAGTCATAAATATTCAACAACAATGTAATTGTTTCAGGGATTTTTTAAACCTACTTATTTATTTGTGAACATCGGGTGATGAACCCAGTTATAAGGAAAACTGAGAATATAAATACGCACAAATAAGTACCTACTTATTTAAAAGATCTGTCACGGCAGTCCTATACGTTTATTCATAGTAGCTCTTTGTATTTTTTTAAAAATTATTTTACAGGTTTGTTCCAGTGCCAAATATCTAAAATGTTTACTTATTAACAAAAGATTCGGCAAATATTGTAATTCTCTTGTAAAAATTGCGATAACCCGACGTAACATACTACTATGGTGGATGGTGGTATAATTACTATTATGGTGACACTGTGTGAGTTCTATGTGGGTGTCATTTTCTTTCAGAAGCCTTATCAAAAAGCAAATATTAAAAAAATAAATATCTAAAAACCCATAGTATAACTAACATTTTATGTATAATATCTGTAGTGGGAGTCATTCTGGAGGGGATTGTCAGACGACGTGGTTCAGTTATTTTGCCTGAAGGTTAGCTGGCGTTGTTGATTGATTAACACATTACACGCTGAACGTATTCATAACCCTGTTAAGTCTTGTTACAATTTAAACGATTTATTGCTAACAGGCGATATTCATAATTATTATTCTCGATGAGTCATAAAAGTTACTTTCAACTTTTTCAAGTGGATATTTAAAAAGCTCTATCAAATAACCCTAATATTGTTTTGGGTCAAAATATGAGAATTTGCGTGAAAAACAGCGGAAAAACCTAAGTCATCATTTTCAGACACTTTTCAGTATTGGCAATAGGTAAATAAGGATAGAAAGAAGTAGGGTTAATCTTTAGAAGGTATGAGGTTTAAATAATTGAGATTATTTGCGATTTTGTGGTAGAATAAGGTCAAAGCATCAACTTAACTCGACCACCGCGTCATACTACAGTTATCGGATCATCATCTATGCTTTGATAACATACCATATCGGAACTTTTACTTTCAGAGTGATACTACTAGATACTAGAGCAGTCTATAAATAGTTCTCAGGCTAACTATTTATACTTGCACATAATGCTGAGCCTAGGCGCATTCTTCAAGTTGCAGCGCGGACCGAAAGAGAGAGAGACGAAATAGTGATCATTATTATACCTACGAGGAAGGCTACTACGATACAATTATGGGATTTCCATTTCCATTCCCATAAATTTACTAGTACATGTAGCCTGTTGATAAAGAGGCTGTTTAGAGAAAACTATTGTAAAAAGCTTTGCAAACCCCTGCTGGGACTTAAACACTTAGGTGAGTATTATGGTACATCTAACAGGTTGGTGTTGTTATTTGTTGGTTTAAGCAATACATTAACATCTTTCCGATGTATTTTTATACAGTTACATTAAATTACATGCATGTATTTTAAAAGCAACGGAAATAAATATCACATATTTTTCTTATTAATTTGTGGTATTCTACAAAATATTATTATTGTGTACCTTTAATGGTATTTTGATGTAGGTACTTATCTATGACGAACTTACATTATAATTTAAAATAAAAACACAATAGATGTTATCGCAAGTGTTTAGAATATTAATTCTTCAAAATGCAGACTGCTAGC